TCAGAAGATGGGAATTGAGAAATGATCTTGGCGAGTGGCGACTTTAATTTCTTCTGAAAAATGTCAGTGTAATAAAAATAATAAAATAAAGGAGGAAGGGATGGTGACAGTGAAGCTCAAAGCCGAAGGTGGTGGCTATCAAAATTGAAGACATTACGGCAAGTGCGAGTTTTATTGGATATCGTGACTTGGTGGCAACTAGCTTCGAGTCGGTGCCTTTCCATCGGCTCTTTCTTATTCACGGGATTTTGTCACCTTATTTAACTTCGGTTGTTATTTGCAACACAAATTGTTCATCGAAATTAAACACCTCTTTGTTCTTTAATTTTATTGAAAATACTCACTAAATAGTACTACCCCTTATCATTAGTATAAGATTTTGTTTCGTTTTTATTTTGATATTAAATATAAGACATTGATCCACTTTGTCTATCACGTTTATATACTTTTTCTTAATAAAGTCCTTTTAATAATAGTAATTCTAGTCAATACACTTGATTAGTAAGGATATTTTGGAAAAGATAATACATATTTATTACAAATAACTAACTCAATTTATTTTCTTAGTCTCCTTAAATAACTAGCTCTTATAATTAGAATTGGAGATGATAATTTTTTTAAAAAATTTAACAGGTTGTGAATTTAACTCTTTTTATATATATAATACTACCTCTACTCCTAACAAGATCTTATAATTAGGATCGGAGGAAATAACGTACTTAAATTTCATCCATTCCACTAAGCGAAGGATTAAAAAAACCCAAGTTACATATATTATGAATTGTTATGAGTACATTAATTAATACCAGTAATTTGTGTGGGGGAAGCATCCTTCACATGGCCTGCCCTTTTTTATTTACACGAACAGGAATATTAATTTGAACCGGAATTGAATAATCAATTAACCGAGAGAATAAGCTGGCGTGTTGACCTTGAAGTCAATCCTGGGAGATCTAAATCCATCAATAAATTTGTTGATGTAGAATATTTGGAGAGGCCAATAAGATTGATCATAATAAATATTGCAGGTGATCGAACAGGGGGAAATGGAGCAAAACCCTAGACGCCGTGACTTTAAGGGCATGGAAAGAGGTGCGTGCATGGGATGGCCGAGATGTGATAATAAAATAAAAAATTAAATAAGAGATAAGGAAGGCGTGGTTAACTCCCTGAGATTAGTTTAATTAGTTGCTTCAAATATATACTATTGTATATGTAATGTGCATCAACAAAAATATAATATTTGCCTTGGCATATGTTGCCCTTCAAAGGTATGAAAAGGAAACAAATCATTTGAAAGTCTAGTTCTAAAAAAGTTTAGGCTGATGATAAAGATTCTTTAAAGCTTAATAAACACCTTGGTCGATTTAATATATATGTACAAGTTAATAATTGATTAACTTAATTATACTTAATCGTAGATATATACTACTGTCTTTTAATTATTAATTAAAGGAGTTTAAGTCCATAACCACTATTCACATCACACTCCTTCTCACCCTTGAGAATTTTTAACATTAAAATTACTGTTGTGGATATTTTATTTTCCGTGGAATGTGTGTGTGTAATTCTGATTTTTTATCTGGCTATTATCAGTCCTTGCATCATTTTTTTTTTTCTTGGGGCTGATCGCATCGTCCTTTTCCTGTAGTTCTTTTCAAAAACATATAAAAAAAAATGACATGAAAAAGCACGAATGAATATGAAAACAATTTTTAAATTTGAGACAAAAAATGTACTTTATAAATTCAAAAAATAAAATTCAAACCTAACGTAAATTTAAAGGATGAAATATATACAATTTTTAAACCTATACGGCGAATATATATATCCAATTAGCCGGCAAATCTTATCGTCCTTATCTTTTTCAAGCAAATTATTAACTCTGCACCTCACAATTTGTTGATATTAATAATAATAATTGAAGTCGCGGGTACGATAAACATGCGATCCATTGGAACATCTGTTCCTGTGCTTTTTTGCATTTCGTGCAGTTCCAATGTCGTCTCTCGTAATTAAACCAAATTCGAAACTCCTCACTCTTTGTTACGTTTTTTCAATTTAAACTATAAATTAAATATCATATTAAGCATCAAGTATAGTATATGCTATGTATATGTCTTCATTACTATGTATATATATATATCCCTGTGCATATAATTAGTTCTTTTGTCCATTTTATATATTTATATGATTATATTGTTCTAAGCTCTCTGAGAGTTATTTAATTAATTTGAATAAATTAAATAAAATTGATAATTAATTATAATAAATGTGACATAATATCTTAAAATGCCTAACTGTAACATTAGATTGTATATATAATATTAGTTTATAAGTTGGATAATTTCTTTTTGAAAAAAAATGATATATATACCTGTATACATGTGTGTGAAAAATGAAGTGAATTAAAATAACTACACATTAGATAATATATATAATATTACTTTATAAGTTGGATAATTTCTTTTTGAAAAAAATGATACACACACACATGTATATATACATATGCGTGTGTGAGAAATGAAGTGAATTAAAATGATCAAATCAAACTCGAGCTAGCTATTATATAAATAATTGGAGGTAGTATTTTGATTATTAACAACTTAAAAAGGTTGAAGAGAGCTCGAACAGCTCAACGGACAGCGTTCGATTTTTTGACCAGCAACAACGGACAACGTTTGATTGAATATAACAAAAATGAACAAATGTATCAACAATAATCCAATCAACAAAAATACAACATAGCATTTGAAAAATACGTTCTTATACTCCTCCGGTCCTAATTATAAGACCCAATTGACTTATTTGAGGAGATTAAGAAAGTAAGTTAAGTTGGTTATTTATAATAAATAAGTGTTGTTATTCCTAAAATATCCTTGCTAATTAAGTATATTGGCTAAAACTATCATTATTAGAAGGATTATCTTGGAAAAAAATACATAAATATAAGAGAGAAAATGGATTGGGTCTTATAATTAGGACCAAATAAAAAGTCAAATTGGGTCTTATAATAAGGACCGGAGGAGTATCATCTTTCATCGTCAGATCATGGCAAGTATGATTTACTGTATCGCATGATATCATCCAGAAATCCTGACCAAGTAAATTAATTTGTTAACCAAAGAGTAAACCTAACCATGTACTATCTCCTCTCATAATTATAAGACTGTGTTTGTAAACTATAAACAGGATCTTACAATTAAGACTGGAGGTAGTATTTCTTTAACAAGAATACAGCTTGCGGGATATTGACCTGCCTGCTAAATTCAAACTAATTAAGCTAAAGGGGCCACGATTTGGTAATAATTAATTAATTTTTTTGATGTTATGTATGCCATTTAATTTGCAGCGCATAGAGTAGTAGTAGTAATAACAACTACAATAATAATTATTATTATTGTTATTATTATTATAGGGTCCACGCGATAAATCTGGGAGGCTTGAAATGTAAAAGATATTGTGGGGATGATATCGATTCAGATTTCGTTTTGTGATCATAAATCGTGAAAATTCAGTTCAGATCTTTGATTATTGCTCTTACCTGGACAGATGGAGATAGCCAATAATAATTAAAAAATATTGAAAAGAAAGGGAAATGAAGGAAAGCAAAATGATATGTGCGGAGATAATAATTAATTAAGTGTGTAATTAAAGAAATCTGACCATAAGATTGAGCACGCCAGTTAAAAGAGGGACCCACTTGAACAGATTTTTATTAATATAAAAACCAAAACAGGATTTCATTGAGTTGAGATGAACTCAAATCTGAATTGAACTTGATATATATTTTATTGTGATGTGATGTGCGAACTTTGGAAATAATCTAGAAGGTCGAAGAGGCCGTATATTGTAGTTCCTTTTTACGACCCCTGCACGAGCCTTTTTTCTTTTCTTGTAATTTGTATATCGTATATTGCAAATTGGGGTTTATAAATATCAAATTCATGATCATGGACTCTGATACTAATTATTAGATGAATCACTCGTATCAGGTTAAAGTTAAATGCGTGCGTGGTGACGTACGTCTTGTATAGTGAAAGTGAAATATTTGGTTTCTGAGTGTAAAAAAGAATAATATAATAAAGTGATTTGGATATATATATATATATATATATATGAATATATAGGGATGGATAATTAATGGGGAAATATGTGGGATAATCCAAAGTGGAAGGTAGCCAAACGAAGAGGAGAAAATGAAGATTGATTCAGCGGAGCACACTTAAATGGGAAGAAACTGAGCCGAACCCAGAAAAGCGTGCCACGTCACAATCACATGAGCCCGATTCCTCGTTGAGCCGTAGCTCCTTTTCTTTTTCTCCTTTCAACACTCTCATCATGATGCTTTAGTGGGTGCTTATTTCCCAACTGTTATGTGAAGGCATCACATCCCACCAAATTAATTAGACTATCGGGGATGATAGGCGATGGAATCAACACAGGAATTGAATTGCCCCAAGACATGTTTATATTTGCGTCAAGACATAATCGAGAGTTAACGACACCTTTGAATAAAGTGAGAATCACTGGCGCCATGGCACACGGTGTTGAGTTTGACGTCAGTAGTTTGGTTACATGAATTTCAATGATTTGGTGGGTCTCATAAATACGTAATTAAGAATGAATGAATGAATCCACAGAACACTGTAAAACAAGTTAGACTTATTAAAAGACAAATTTTTTTGCATATAAGCAAGTTTAAAGGTGAGAGTGGGCAGGGGAGAAAGAGACGCGTTGATGGGGGCGGTGTTTTGCAGGCTTGGCGTTATCTGTGGGAGCTGTGGGAAAATTGGAGTGAAAGAGAAAGTAGAAGAGAAGGGAGAGTGATTCTGATTAATAAAATGGGCGACTTTGACTGTTTCACGCAATGATCACGTGGCAAAAGAAGCGGGCTGGCTATTCCTGCTTACGCGTACAAGTACATCAAGGAACAGGCTCGCCAATTCACCTGCACATATTTCAGTGCCTAGCCACCCAGCTCAGCCGTCCCCATCAATCTTCTCCACTCTCTTAACAACTTCCAAGTTCCAATCTTTTCTTCTCTTTTCCTTCGTCTCACTTTCCCAGCCCCGCAAGCAACTCGACATCAAAAGAATGAGCAACAACTAGGCCCCTCTCTTTTGTGGGGGGACGAGAGAGAGAGATAGATAGAAAGAGAGAGAAAAGCATGCTTTGTCGGCCATATCAGCTTCACCCCAGAGTTCTTTGCCTGCTCTTTCCATCCCCCTAAAGATCCTTTCCACTCATCATCATTCCACTCACCACACCAATACTTATACTGGTTCACACCAAGTTCACCTTTTCCCTTTCCTTTTCCTCTCCTTCTACGTTTGATGGTTTTCCTTTCCACCGTTAAATAAATTTGCACTTTATCTGTCCTCCACCAAAAGGGGTTGGGATTCCTGTGCTGAATATCTTGGCTGACTGATCGGAGATCCCATACTTTCTGTGCGAAAAGGCAATCTGGGTATATTCTACTTTTGTCTGGAGATTCATGAATTCCACAGTCCTAGCGTTTCCCTCTCAGGGAGTTGATCCCAATTGTTGGAGATGCTTTTTCTATTATCTCTTATTTGATGAGTAACGGTATTATGGTCGGCTTTGATAGGTATGTTAAAGCTTTCTTTTACTTCATCTTCTTTCTTTCCCTTTCAACTGAAATGGACTTACTGATTAAGATTTTGGCTGTGGGAATGGCTTTCCGATTTTTCGTCTATGTCATCTCTGAATTTTGAGATATTGCTCCCTTAATATTCACATCAAATAGCCGTTTGCCGAATTTCTAATTTAAATCACAGGGAAAAAATTAAAATAGCTCTTTTTGTGTGGGATTGGGGGTTAGGCAAAATGAATCATGAATCGCTTTCGTGCATGATTTCCACAGTTTCTGGTTTATATCTTTCATTTAATTGCAATATGAAGCATTTGGGCTGTGTCATGGATTTGACTGCTCCGTTATCATTGTGCAGGTCTCTTTAAAATTAAGATGTCTGGGAATTTCAATAAAAGGAGAGTGTTGGCAGACAGGTGGTCCGGTATTCTACTATTGTTCACTTTACTTCTTCGCACTTCAGAGGGATTGAACACAGAGGGGCAGTACCTGCTTGAGCTGAAGAGTAGTCTTCATGATGAATCTAATCATTTGGCGAATTGGAAGTCTACTGATGAAACACCTTGTGGATGGACGGGTGTAAATTGCACTTATGACTATAATCCAGTGGTCCGGTCCATCGATTTGAGTTCCATGAATCTTTCTGGAACTCTAAATCCCAGCATTGGAGGTCTGACGCATCTAACTTATCTCAATCTTGCCGACAACGGGCTGATAGGAAATGTACCCAGTGAAATCGGAAATTGCTCGAAATTGGAATTTCTTTTTTTGAACAATAACCGATTCAGGGGACCAATTCCTGCTGAACTGGGTAGGCTGTCCCTTTTGAGAAGTTTGAATATTTGCAACAACATATTCTCAGGTTCTCTGCCAGAGGAACTGGGAAACTTGTCTTCACTGGTTGAGCTTGTATTCTACACAAACAATCTGACTGGTCCCCTGCCTCATTCTATTGGAAATCTAAAGAGTCTCACTACTTTAAGAGGTGGAGGAAATAGATTGTCTGGTAGCTTGCCAAGTGAGATCGGTGGATGTACGAGCATGGAATTTCTAGGCCTTGCTCAAAATCTGATAGGAGGAGAACTACCGACAGAGATCGGGATGCTTCAGAACTTAAGAGAACTGCTTTTATGGAATAACCAGTTATCAGGGCTAATTCCTAAGGAGATTGGGAATTGTACCAGCCTTGAAACCCTTGCTTTATATGGAAATGCTCTTGTTGGACCTATACCTGAGGAGATTGGGAATCTCAAGTCTCTGGGGAGATTGTACCTTTACAGAAATAAGTTGAATGGAACCATTCCAAGGACAATTGGGAATCTTTCTCTGGCATTAGAAATTGATTTCTCAGAAAACTCTTTGGTGGGTGATATTCCTTCTGAGATCAGCAAAATAAGTGGTCTCCACTTGCTCTTTCTCTTTGAGAACGAGCTATCGGGTGTTATACCCAGTGAGTTTAGTAGCTTGACGAACCTGACAAGGCTGGACCTGTCCATTAATAATCTCACAGGTCCCGTTCCATTGGGGTTCCAGTATTTGACTCGAATGTCTCAGTTGCAACTTAATGACAACTCTCTAAGTGGAAATATTCCTCAGAGCCTTGGACTTTATAGTCCTCTTTGGGTGGTTGATTTTTCTAACAATCACTTGACGGGAATGATACCTCCTCATCTGTGCCGGAATTCTAACTTGATGCTGTTGAGTCTGGCTTCTAATCGGCTGTATGGAAATATACCAACTGGCATCCTGAATTGTGAAACATTGGCAATGCTACTGTTGGTTGGAAATAGTCTTACTGGTGGCTTTCCTACACAACTGTGCAAACTAGTGAACCTTACTGCCATTGAGCTGAACCAGAACAGGTTCAGTGGTCCTATTTCTCCCGAGATTGAGAGGTGCCAGAAGTTGCAGAGGCTTCATATTGCTAACAACTACTTCACATTAGAGTTGCCTAAAGAAATAGGAAATCTTTCTCAACTAGTGACCTTCAACGTTTCGTCCAATTCTTTCACTGGAACAATTCCCCATGAAATTCTTAGATGCAAGAAGCTTCAGCGACTTGATCTCAGCAGTAACAGCTTTACTGGTTCCCTACCAGATGAGCTCGGAACACTCTCGCAGTTGGAGCTTCTCAAGCTCTCAGATAATAAGCTTACAGGGCATATTCCTCCAACGTTAGGTAATCTACTTCGTTTGACTGCATTGGAGATGGGTGGCAATTTACTTTCGGGAGAAATACCTCCTGATCTGGGTAATCTCACAAGCTTACAGATTGCATTGAATCTCAGTTACAATAACCTTACTGGAAGTATACCTGATGAGCTTGGCAATCTCTTTAAGCTTGAGTTTCTCCTTCTCAATAACAATAAACTGAGTGGTGAAATTCCCAGCACATTCGAAAACCTTCCAAGTTTGTTGGGCTGTAATTTCTCACACAACAATCTTTCTGGGCCTATACCTTCCATTCCAATATTTGAAAATATGGAAGTTAGCAGCTTTGTTGGTAACAATGGCCTCTGTGGTGCTCCTCTGCTTGGCTGCAACACTAATCCATCTTCTCTTTCTGATCCTCCTACGAAAAATGTTAATGCTTCTCGCACCAAGATTATCACCATTATTGCCACAGTGGTTGGTGGCGTTTCTCTCGTTCTAATAGTATTCATTTTATATTTAATGAGACGTCCTCCTGAGCCTATTTCTTCATTGAGGGATTCGGAGATTCCCTCCCCAGATTCAGATATATATTTTCCTCCAAAAGATGGCTTCACCTTCCATGATCTACTTGAAGCTACAAACAGCTTTCATGACAGTTATGTTATTGGAAGAGGGGCTTGTGGAACAGTTTATAAGGCAGTAATGCCATCTGGGAAGACTATTGCTGTTAAAAGGCTAGCATCCAACAGGGAAGGGAACAACATCGAGAATAGTTTCCGGGCTGAGATATTAACTCTTGGGAAGATAAGGCATCGAAATATAGTGAAGTTGTATGGATTTTGCTACCACCAAGGTAGCAATCTCCTACTATATGAGTACATGGCAAGGGGTAGCCTAGGGGAGCAACTTCATGGGTTTGGATGTAATTTGGAATGGCCAACTCGGTTCATGATTGCTCTTGGAGCTGCAGAGGGTCTTGCCTACTTGCATCATGACTGCAAACCAAAGATCATTCACCGTGATATAAAATCAAATAACATTCTACTTGATGAAAACTTTGAGGCCCATGTGGGTGATTTTGGTTTGGCAAAGGTTATTGACATGCCTCAATCAAAGTCAATGTCAGCAGTTGCTGGATCATATGGTTATATTGCTCCTGGTAAGTTGCTGGATCAAAGCAATTATTGTTGAGTAGGCTTAATAGATGTTATGTATATCTTGATTTTTGTGGAATGATTTCCTTCCCCTTTTCCATTAGATATAATTTGGAAGTTTACATGTTTTGTATCTGTCTGTCAATTGTTGTGTACTGATGTTGCTATAATCCTGTGTGGCAGAGTATGCATACACCATGAAGGTCACTGAGAAGTGTGACATCTATAGCTATGGAGTTGTGCTGTTGGAGTTGCTAACCGGAAGAACGCCGGTTCAGCCGCTAGAGCAAGGAGGCGATCTGGTGACATGGGTCAAAAGCTATATTCGGAGCCATAACAACACCCTGTCCTCTGGTATGCTTGACAATCGTCTCAATATCCAAGGCCAAACCACTGTGAACCACATGCTCACCGTTCTCAAAATTGCTTTGCTCTGCACAAACATGAATCCCACTGATCGCCCACCCATGCGCCAAGTCGTGTTGATGCTTATGGAATCCAACGAGAGAGAAGGAAACTTGGCCATTTCTCCATCTCGATACGAGGACCTCGCTTCCAAAGAAGATGATGAGCAAAAGAGTACGTGAGGTAATTGAACTTTTGTCTTTCGACTTTATTAACAAAAGATGATTCTTTTTCTGCTGCTCAGCTCATAATTGTTGTTGGCAAAACCAGAGAAAATAGAAGATATAATTCTTGTACATTCTTTTGTTTAGAGTATATATAATGGTCGGTTGCCAAGACTAGTGCGGTTTCACTTTGCAGTAGCCATTTTTATAATTTGTTATTTTCACGTCATGTAATTTTCTTCTGGAAATTCAGTACAGTAACATTGTATTTCTGTACAGTTTGCAATACCATTATTGGACCTGTTGTATTTTGGATTATGCTCTCCCCAGCTGATTCTTGAACCGCTAAATTTAATTTATTCCAATCAGCAGACTGCAGTTCATGCATATTCTGGATTTATTATCATAATATGAATTTGATATTGGGCATCAACCAAATTATTCGTACCCGATTAGTTAAAAGAAATAGAAAACTGGACATAAGTGTGAAAGAATCAAGAATTGGACAAGATCAAGGATAGTTTCATTAATTAATGCCTGTAATAAGCATGAAGTTGCATTACAAAAGCAATTTAAGAGAAATGAGGGATGAAAGAACTTGATGACCAGTTATAGCAATCATCAAAGACGTGACTTTTCTTGCCGAGCCTGCAGGGCTTGTCTTGCCTGATTTGCCAGATGCAGGTGAAGCACTTTTTAAAATCCCTCTTCATTGTGAAAATGTTGAACCAGTGAAGAACACCAGGCCATGAAAAGCCGCAGAAGTAAAGGGTGGTTCCCCAGAAATTAGGCCTGAATGTGAACTCGTAGGTTTCATTGGGATGAAGAAGATGCACTCCCAGATCTTCATCCTTCTGCTTGCAATGAACGGTGAGATCTAAGCCACCTCCCAGATCATTTGTCATCCTCACCGTTCTCTTTGGAATTGCAATACCAGCTTCACTACGTGTGGTTGCTCCCACTATCAGTATCAGGATGGTCACAGCTCTGGGGAATATCAAAGGCAAAGGCATTTTGATCATGGCTGAGTTTTGATGGAGGAGTGTTTTATCTTTTATGACGTGCGGGATATAATTATAGGAAGCAATTGTTATGACTTATGACTGCCCTTAGGTATATATGTGTGCGCGCGTGTACAAATGTAATCATTTATTTCTTGAATATCAATTAATGCTACACTTTAATACTATATGGGAGATTAAATGGCTATGCTTAAATGCATATTGGTCAAGTTCAATGCGCTGTATATGAACAGGTTCAATGCACTCTGTTTTTGACTTTCATAGGAATCATGGGAATGATGCCACTTTATTTCCTATCTTGGTTGTGTATTCAGTCTTAAATGCATTATTTCCTATCTTGTTTGTAATTATCTCACGCATCTCAATAAAAATTTTGTTACATTATCAAATTTGTCCAAAAAAAAGGTCTAAGATTCTACTTTTTATACTCTCATCAATTATAAAAATATAGTACATATCATTACCCAACTCGTACAAAATACTCAAACTTATGACTAATTAATTCATAAGAGTTAGGTTGACTTGTATGACTAAGATAAAACCTAAAAAAAGAATCCATATTTTACTCTAATATATTTTTTTGTAATTTAATTAGAATATAAAGAAAAATAGTTTCACACGAGAACATTTCCTCTCTTGGAAAGAAATTAATAGTAACAAGAAGGATTTTAAAGAAAATGAATTGAAAGTTGCCCATTCGAGTTCAATTGATCATAGTGTCCAAAAGACGTAAAGCCCGTCTAGCTCAGTCGGTAGAGCGCAAGGCTCTTAACCTTGTGGTCGTGGGTTCGAGCCCCACGGTGGGCGATGTTATTTTTTCCCCTTCATTTTCGGAAAAATTCAATTTGTTTCGACCCTCTCGGATCTGCGTCGACCTGTTTGGATTTTTGAAGCGTGCTGTTCGTCCACACAGGAGTAAGCAAAGATGAACCATCTCAACTAGATAGAGTATCAAAAATAATTGAAAGAAGAAAACTAGAAATATCCTACATCTAGATGATTAGGCTTCGGCCTTCGCGTCCAGAAGCACAAACAGGAAGGTGGGACTAAAAAGGACAAAATCCAATACAGTGAGCAACTCATTGAACAATTGAGATCTTTCTCACACAGTCATATACGTAATACTGCATAAACCAGACAGACTACAGAAACCAAGACATAAAAGTCAAAGGCTACATATTTGCAGGGCAAAGTTATGGCACATCATGCAGGCCAGATGAACAGATCCGAATTAAAGAGGGGCATGAGATTTTTCAGATCAGATCAGGGTGGCTTCAGAGATATGCATGTGGATGCATACATATCACACTTGTTTGAGTCTCTCCCTGATTGGGAAAAGTTCAAGTGTCTCGAGGGTTCTTGTAGGCCTATATAAAGCTCCTGGACTTACCTCCATCATCGTCCCCCAATCTTGCTTCAACGTCTTCTCCATCACTCCTGTATTTTCGCTTCTCCATTTGTAATCTATGCCTTGTTTTGGTGCAGCTCCTCCCTGTTGGCACAAAAATGAAGATTATATCGTTTCTACAAATGTACCATCATATAACTAAGACATTGCTTTTAGTACTCGGTGCATGCAGTTTTAACTTTCAAACAAAGCCAACTGAAGTTTGAGCACTGAACTCTCCCCACCTCTTCTGAGTTATGATAACATAATTATACCCTATTCTTCATTCACAGATCATCAGAAGCTGTCATTAATACAAAATAGATTAAAAAGGGCCGAGACAGATGTATGGGTAACCTCTGAAAAGGAATATTGTTGGGAAGATGAGGCAGTAATAAGAGACTGCATAGGGCAGTGAGAATGGTGATTAGAGTTGTGACTGAGATGAAGGTGAAGGTAATAGTTAAGGAGCAGCTGGTGTTGCCGCTGCTGCTGTAACTGAAGTTGCTTGTTCAATCTGCGGCGGAGTTTCTGTCGGTCCCTAGCCTTGTGGTTCTGAAACCAATAGAAAACATTCTTCCCCTCTATCTTGCCATAGAAAGAAAGTTGAGCTGTGATATGCTGAATCTGGGACGCATTTGGAGTTCTGATCCCACTTCTGTACATCTCCTCAAGAATCACAAGCTGTTCCTGGGTTGGGCACCATCTTGATGAACCCCCACGACCCATCACTCTCCTTCTCTCTGTTTTTCTGTATACGCAGCAATTCATAGCAGTGGAGTGCTTTGTATCTTTGTTAGGTAGGCTCATATATATAGAAAGCGACGGAGAGTACAGAGGGTCGACAGAGAGAAAAGTGAATTTCAAACACACCTATTTGTTTGCATCATTGTTTCTTCGAATGAATAATTGGATAAATAAATAATGACAATTGAACACAGTATCATTTAATATATAAACATTAAAAGAAGTACAAGTGTACTGTGATGCTGATGCTGGATATGGTCACCGTGAACCAGGGGAGAGAATCAGAGAGATGGGAATCATGCAAGAATGAGAGAGAGAGAGAGAGAGAGAGAGAGAGATTTGGAATGATAAAGTGATGATCACCTTATTATTACGTTTGGGAACAGAATGTATAAGAAAGCAGGCAAGTCATCAGGCGGTGTGGTCTTTTGGACAATCAGACAAGTCAATCACATGTGGGGACGAACTTATATATCACACTGTGGAATGAAAACGTAAGCCCCCGGACAATCTGAACCGTCCACTCTTAGCATTAATAATCTGAGTGTCTGCAAGACAAATTGTTCAGCTTCACTTGTTCCAAACTGTTTCTTCCTTTGTTTGTTAGTGTATATACTTTCTTATTAATCTGTTCACACCTACTCCCATCCATTGCTTATTGGAATTCCCAAGTGCTAGTAGGCATAAAGCATGCATGCAGTGGCCAGTAGGGGAGCAGCAGAGAGAAACACCATTTCCAGAGGAAAAGAAACAGTAAAAACCAACAATGAAACACTTCTAGAGAAATATGGGATATATATATATATATATATATATATTGAAGCATTAATTTGACCAATGTGGAACGTTATTGGAGATGGAATTGGTCATTGAATGGAGGAGAGAAGCAATTAGCGGTTCATGATGAGAGTAGTGCAATTGGGTGATTGGACGGATCGTTGCGTTTTATTTGAGAAGTAACATCGGATTGCTTATCAACACGCCTGTAGAAATCTGCAAACTTTCTTGTTAAAGGTGTAAGATTAAATGTGTATAATCAATACAACGAAGAAAGCGAAACATATAACCAGGTATCTTTGAGGCTCCTGTGACACACAGAATATACTGGTGAGTTAGAGACTGTGCCTGAGCCAGAGACATAGCGTAGAAATGAGTCTTCAAGGGTCAGAAAAATCAGTCTGATACATAATTAAAAATACTACAATATGATTGCATAATTATAAATGCTGCTAGTTTGAAAGAGAAACGACAAGGTAAGACAATATGAAGTAGGTGAATATACTTACACACACAGATATATATATAGAGAGAGAGAGATGGATAGATGCGAAGAAGATGAGGAGAGCAAGGAACCTAATTCAGTGGGTCATTGTGTGACTGGTGACAATGAGAAATGGGAAGAGACTGTTGAGGAAAAAGGAGCCTCCCTAACAAAGCAAGGTTCCTCATCTCTGCAGCCAAATGAGTCGTATTTCCATTTTTTGATATGATATGCTAAATCCTAGGCATCATGCTGTGTTGGACGTAGGCACTTGCATTTTATTATATATTTTCTAATGACAAAACGAAGCACAAAACATGTTGTAACCTCGAGTCGTACTTTTAATGGTGATGTTGACGTTGCAGTTTGTGTCAGTTCATGTCATTTCTTGTTGCATTCAAGAGTCTCTTGTCACTTGCTTTCTTGCAATTCCTCAGTCTTCGCTACTCTCTCTATATCACATGGCTTAACTAAGCACCCCTCCAAATGTTAGTCATGCACTTTCAAGTTTCGCCCTAAATTCCTTAAGGGCAAAAAAAAAAAAAAGAGTTCAATTAAAGAAGGATCATTCGACTTGTCATCTATATAATGAAGACATCACAAAAGTAGTCCTTTTTTTTTGGACTGAACAGAACTGGTGATTAATAAACCAAAAAGTTGAGCAATATCCTGTTGGGCTTGGAAGGGTGGCCCACGCCATTCTATTGGGCCTCGTGAAGCCCATCTTTGCATAACGGGCCTTTTACAATTAGGTCAGCCTCATTTAATTTCTACGCATCCGCAATCCAGTGCCGTCGTAAAGCTACAGACAATCATGCGTGGTAATGGGTAAATATTATGAAACAACTGGTTCAAATTAAAATCCAGAAAGAAGACGGGGAAAAGTAAGAGAAAGCAAACATATTATTGATAATAATGATTTGGTGGCTGGCAAAGAGGAAGAAAGAAATTAAAGCAGAAGACAAATGTTATGTTAATCAGTAAACCAGACATCAATCTTCTGCCAACTGGAGCGACGATCCCAGCTTCGATAGAAACCATCTTGGCGAACAGACCAAAACATGTTGAGATGAGGAGCGTCTCTGGTTTGATTATAAAGTTCCCACCATTGCGTGAAGAACTGCTTCCACAGGGCTGTGCAAGTGACGACACTTTCAGAATTATTGGGAAGGCTCACTTTGTGGTGGTCGCCTAGCTTCATCGTTAAGGAAGCTTCTCCGCCGCATGAAAGACTCAGTTCCTCACCACCCTCACTGCGCAGACCGCTTTCTATGTCGATCTCTATTTTATCTGCTGCTGATGATGATCTGCTTATTATGATGAACAAGAAGGTCATCAACAGGAAGATCAAACCCCTACCAAATGCCATTGTCGATCTTTGTTACTACCTTCATGTGCTCGTCATGGTTATTTATAGGATTTCATCAATTGTTTGATCGTGTGAATGCAATTCGCATTGTGCATTTATTCACTTAATTTGCACATGATCTCTTCTTCTGCCTGGGTTTCAACAGCATTTAATTTAAATTTCCCTGTTTTTTCCCATATGTTTTTGACAATAATCAAATATTCGCGCTGTTATTATTTTTTGAGTATTACTTTCTTGGAACTTCAATTAGAATGGGGAGAGCGGGTTTTATTTTATTAAAACATTTTATTCGCTTTGATGTAGTCTTATATATAATGAAGAGAGATTTCGGAAAATTTCCATTTTCATGATGAAACTATTTACCCTTTTTGGTCAACATTTCCTGCCATTTTTACAATCATAAATGACGATCGATCATTATTTCTTGTCTTGCTTTGTCAATAATTAAATGGTATACATCAGAAGCAATCAGTCTTCTGATTTTTAATTTCAATGTGATTAAAACCAAATCATAATGATGATCTGAAAAAAAAACAAAAATAATAATGATCAGTGGACAACGTATCTTGCCAAAATATCAGCGGGGTAAAGGAAAGTAACTAACTGTGCCCAGGGAAATCACAATTCCAAAATACAGCTTTTTTAAATCACGTCTTCCATTTATTCTTCTCTCCTAATTCATAGGATTACCATATACGACAACCCTTTCACCCGAGGCCCATATGTTGGGCCACTCACTGTCATGGCTGGTGGGCCGTAGCATTATGTTGGGCCAGACAAAGCCCATTTCTCAAAACTGGGCCATTCTCACTTGCTCCCCCTCATTACATATTATCAGTCGAGGAAGGCGAACAACTCAAATCTCTTTTATATACTTATTATTACATGCAACCAAAATCAATTCTCCATGACTGATCAAAATGGGCATTTAGTTAATTGAAAGGGCCAAAAATTAGAGGTTTTTCTTTTCTTTCTCTCTTTCTGGGACAAGATTTTACAAAGTGACATTTTTGTCTACCAAGAAAACATCGGTAAATACAAAATTAGAAGTTTTTCTTAAAAAAAAAAAAGTACAAAAGCCACAGTAAAAGTATGCAGAAATAAAACAAGTGGAGATGAAATCAGCTAAAAACAAGCTTGTACAGGTGAAGGTCGATGATGGTACATTTTGGGGGGGGGGGATTAGAGATAATAAAGAGGGTAAGTGGGGTACACATGGAGGATAACGCGGTGATGGCGAGAGTAATATGATACTGATCCTTAATATAAAAGTTAGTTAATTAATTTGAATAAATTAAAAAATTTTGTTGAGTTAGTTATTTATAATAATTATGTGTTGTTTTCCTACAATATATTTGCTAATCATATACTAATTATAAGTTTATAACTACTATTTGATGAAACATTTAATATATGTAACTACTACAAGGATTATATTAGAAAAAATAAATAAATATGAGAAATAAAGTAGATTGAGATCTTATATTTATGATCAAATTGATGACATGATAATAAAGCAGAAATAAAGTAGTAAGTAGTAGTAATGACGTGATAATAACATGGAGAGTGGGGAGAGACAGAGAAAGGATCAGCCATTGATGAAGGAAGTGGAAGCTCTCATTCGTCTCCATCTCTCTCTCTCTCTCTGTTGCTTCTGCTCGCCTCTGCTGCGTCCTTTTCTTCTTCCATTTCTTCTTCCTCTTCATCAATATGGGCTCACCACATAAATAAACCAACTTTAATTATTTTGTTCTTAATTACTGTCAAACTACATATCGCTTAATTAATCACGTACTCCGCTTGATACCATTTCCACATTTCGTTCTCTATATTGAAAATATTAAACTCGATCATATATTTGAAGGGTTGATTTAGCTCCCTTCTTATTTTGCCTTTACGGTGTATGCAACCATAGACTCACTCACCTGTTCATATCAAATCAAAAGCTAAAGACCTAAACAGCTGAAACAACCCTATTCCGTGCTATGCGCCAACATCTAAATTAAATATGACATTCTCATAATCCTAACATTCACATCGATTGATGTTTTAGCTCATTCAGTCTTTTATTTTTACAAAACCCGAGCCGACACATTCCTAATCTGGCCAAGTCACTTCAACCCAGTAGTTTAAGGCGTGTCATTATAGTAGTAATTAATTATTGAGTATTCTGATTTTAAACATCCTTTATAAATAGGAAACTTTATATGAGTCGAGTCTCAAAAGCTTGCTAAAATTAGAACGTGTCTCAAGACTTGAAAAGTATTTGCATATTGTTGTTTACTAACATTTTTCATTTCAATAATAAGATTAGAATTTATGTCCTTCTGAGATGTGAATCATAACGTAACGTTGGCTTATTAATTCCAAACATTTTATTGAGTAACAATCCATATATATTATTAGATTCTCATCTCTACTATTTGAAAATGTAGCACTTCAATATGGTTTAGTTAAACTGTTAGCCTCGTGTGCTTGCAAAATAAGGGAGATTCATTTGGGAGTTAGTTCTCGAGTCATTGGACTTCTTAATTAACTAATATTATCTGGTATGCAACATCTTCAGTCTCTTGCACACCCAGTAAACTCACGTTCATCTTTTCGTAAAAATGTCTAGAAAAATATAAAATAATCTGCACTAATTTGGTATTTTATATATGTGTTGATTGATAGTGGGTATATATGATTTTGAAAAATGATGACGGACTTGAAAAATACGCAATGTAGGACATGTCATTTACATATCAATAGATCTGTGAAGGTAGATTGTTTGAAATAAAAAAGGACACTTGCGAAGAGAAGATAACGAAAAAGATTGCCGTTACATGATCCTTAAAATGGCCTGTTATTTTCGGAATAATTGAAGAGAATATGCATTCTTGTATGGCCAATAAAGTGGTTTGTTTTTTGTTGTGTCAAAATGTGTGGAAATGAAATAACAAGTCTCCACTAAGTTGACGCGCATACACACACAAGCACTACTGTTTAAACATTGATCAAAACTGGATCCCACAATTGATCTATGAATATGAAACCAATCATTATATTTCAAAATGCTATTCATCCTTCAGTAATAGGTCACCTCCACAGTCCAAACCATTTCTGATTTCTCTCGTCAAATCTTTCCATCAATGAATCACCGGCATAAAATGTTATAATGTGAGTTAGATCTTAGAATTCATTAAAATCAAGATGGATCTTATATGATGTTTTTTTATCGATAGCAAGATTAGAACTTAACGTTCTTAAAGAATATGTATAAACTGTGTCTTTACTCACTAAACTAACTTTTATAGCAGACATTTATTAGCATTATTTATATGTTAGTGGCAACCTGGGAAGTCTGTTGCAGTGACTCTACTTCCTGCTATTCTCCTGAAAAAAACCAAAAAAAAAAAGCTTTTGAGTCTAAGCAGTGCTTGATCCAGCAACTTTCACATAATTTTTTTTCACTTTAATAGTGTCAAGTAACATTCCACACACAAAAATCAGGCTTTGATTTTAGTAGAATGAACTTTGGCCGCTCAAGCACGATATTTCGAGTTTGAGTATGTGTGAACATAAAAAATGCCTTTAGAAAAACTACCTCTAATGAGACGAGACAACAAGATAACGCTCGATCCAGACCTAATCAAATGATCATACTTTTGGGGGGGGGGTCTGCACGCAAAAGGAAGAGTGAGGAATATTGAAAACCAAGGACACTAGAACCACAAACAGTGGCAGTTTAAAAGGGAATAATTTTTCAGAAACAAATAAATAGATAACAGGAGAGGAGTCCATCATGATCCAGAGCAATCAGAAGCAATATTCGATACAGAAAAGGGGACTACAGATATGCCACCAAATCATGAAGCTTTTCTTTTCCTGGCTTTGTACCTTTCAAACGATACGCCGATAAGCCCCTCCAAGATTTCCACTTCCAGTACTGTCTTCTCTCTAATAAATAAAAATACCAGAACACCCCATTTGTTCATTCTTAATATTAAGTTCCCGTCTGCATTATCATTTTGAGCCTGACACACATTTTATTTTATGCATAAAGAATCAAAAAACGCAATGTAATGTCCCCATGTATCGACATTGTAATACATTACAATGTTGAGTTGGGCAACTTGCGAGAGCCACTTGTTTATTCTTTAAGTATTATTATTTTTGGCACCATATTTAATGTTATTTGCTTTTGTCCACTGCGTGCGTTTTCCACAGTCCAGTACGCATTCTGTTCAATGATTAGGTGTTAGGACTAAGATTTGTTTGTATTCCCACGCCACTCTTACCAAACACACACAAATCCTCGATCCTCACTCTAAATCCCATTTAGTCTTATTGTTTCCTTTGGTCATTATTGATGCTTATTGCTTAACCACTAATTCTGTGATATCGAAGGACCATTTCGTGGATTTTTGTTAACAGTGAAATTTGATGAAATAGAAAGTACGAAAATGGCATGTAATACACTTTTTGAGGAATCATTAAGTGCGCTTAAATCTATAGCCGCAATGATATGATCTGAATAATCAATATTTCTCACTCTGTGTTCTCTGCGTCGGGTGAATCAAATTTGATTTTGTCTGCATAAATAATACAGCTTTCACGACAGCTTTACTAGTGCTTGATTTTACGTTGAAGACATCGAAATCACTGTATTGGTTTCCAACATAACATTAAACATGTTATTCGTCGAGGATCTACGACCTTGTCTCCTTGGTAAATTAGAAACGACAGAGCAAGTCGGCAAACAGAGCAAGCTTTAAACCCAGACAAAGTCAAAACCTTAGCATTCCCTGAACGCCAAAAAACAGAATATCTATGGCAGAAACTGTCATAGAAGTTACAAGAAAAAAAGTAACTAAAGACTCGTCAAAACAAAACCTTGTAATTTATTGTGGGCTTAGTATATAACACATGTATGAAAGGTGATGAGTGAAATCACCATTCAAAGTCCTTGTACCAATTGACAAGATCGTTGCTGAAGAAGAAACCATGTTCGGTGACGAGCCAAGTGCACATCTTGAAAGGGCCACAGCGATGGGCGTCTCTGGAAGCCTTAAAAGCGTCGAACTTCTTTCTGGTTTGGTCCCATTTCATGGTACACTTCATGAGGTTGCTGCTCCAGAAATGGGTCTTCATCTTCCAGCTGAAGTCGTCGTGCTCCTGAAGGGCTCTGCCTCCGAGATCGGCTTCTTCGTTGGAACACCATATCACCAATGGCACCGATGAGTTGTTCGTGAAACCATTGATGACTCGAACCTCGTACTCTGTCCCGAACAGGTATTCTGATGGTTCTACCTTCGCCATCATCACTATTATGAATGTGGCTAGCCCGACCACTATCCATATTCTTCTTCCAAATTTGGTCTTCATCGTTTCTCTGTTTCTGCTCATCCTCTGCTCTATTTTAACGTTCGTGCCTGCCACTTTTTATACGCCATTTTCTTCCCTTTTATTTCTGTTCCACGTCGTAATTAACAATATTTCGCACTTGCTGTACTCTTTTTCTTTCATGAATTATTGTTATTTTAGAAAAAGCATCGTTATTGGAAAGACATATATAATATGCATGCATGATATCCCTCGTTATTATTAATTAGAATATCTTCTTTCGGGTAAAATGTGATCCTCTTGCATATACAAGATTTACATATTTTAAAAAAATAATAAAAATAGATTTATAAAAAATATTTTCTCATGCATTTAAAAAAAAAAAAGTAATCATGCTACGTAATTCACGAAGACACGATAATGAGGCGTTGGAGTAAAATCTGAATCTTCCTCCTTACTTGCTATTTGAGAAGATTTTATTTCAAAGATAAGTTACCATAATATTTCAATCAATAAAAAATGGCCATACTTGAGGGTCAAAATATACTTTGTGCATGTATATCTTATATTAGAATCTTGTAATTATGAGTTGATTACATACTCATTTATTGTATAAGATTTCAGCATTAATCCTCCCTTTTCTTTTCCTTTTTTTTCATTACATTGTGTATTTATTTTAATGTTTTACATGCACTTCTCTCTTTTTTTATGTTTTTTTTTTGGTAACATGAGTGAATTTAGATTTCCTGATTCCAAAATTACTCATGTATCTATTGCTCCATGATAAGAAACAATTTAAGTTGGTAAATGTGCTTGACAATGTCAAAAAGGCGTTCATGAATTAAGAGAAAAATAGACGGTATGCTTGGAGCGGCATTTAAATGACATAAAATTACATTTGTCGCTCAAAATCAAGTTCTATACAAAAAAACATGTTTTTTCTGTGTACATCCTGCCTCCTTAGGACTTCACCTGGCCAAGACTAATCCAGATCAAATTGGGGTTGAATCTTTCTGGATAACAAATTTTATCATCAACTATTTAACGTAATTTTAGATTCAAACTCGAGACCTTTGCTCATTAGTCTGTTAATGAACTTATATTTTATCAAGAGTTTTTGACTCAAATGATATTCACGATTCCTTTAAAAGATACAAGTTGTGGGATCGATCCCAAGTGGATATGTGTATCTCCTTTTTCTAAGAAGAATGTTGTGAAATTAAACTCGAAGTAAGCACGTGGTTAGGGGCTCATCTTTGCTCAGCAACACTCTACAGTCTACCCACAAACTGCCTTTTGCATTCAAGGTTTCAAAAGAACTTTCGATATCGAATTTTGCTTCTCATACAAGCTGCTTCAAGTGTCAACTTTTGTATAAAAGGGCATTCAGGGCAATAAGCATCCATATCTTGAAAGGTGAATTTCGCCTTTACTTTTGCTTCTCTTTACCTAAATAATTAACATAAATATCATCCATATCAATATAAAACATAGAAAATTTTCAGGGGTGATCAGAATAGCGCATGGGCAATTGGCAAATAGTATTTACTTAAAATATTAAAAGTTGAAGGAATAAGAAAATAGCGGATTAAGATGAAAGCGACAAACTAAGCACCATATAAAGAGATCTCTATGAATCCATTAACATAATAAAATCTAAATTCATAGTTGTTTTTTCTTTTTTTTGGGTGGTGCAAGGGGGATTACCAAGTACTGTAATCTCGTAGAATATTGTTAGATACCGCTTGTAATCTATATCCATTCTATGGGTCATTATTATTTTCTTCTTAACAGTCCGAGGCATGACAATTGAATACTGCCAAGTGATCTAAAGTTTATCACTTTATTTAATTTTATAGCACACCTGATATAGGCTATAGTTATCATGATTCCAAATTTGAAAAATCCCCAAGAGATGAACAAGTTTGAATGTGAATATTTAGAGTCATGTTTAGCCTCTCTACCTATATAAGCAAGATCTGTAACCCAGTAACCCAAAAAAAAAAAAAAACAGACCCATAGGAACAAGACAGACAGACAGACATCCAGGAATAATGATTTATGAGGTTGGGAAAGAATTGTTGTTCCGGAAATGACCCAATAATATTTTGAAGATGAGGATCAAGTGGCCTCAACACATATAATATAAAAATGTATATTTTATTGGATGGTCATTTTCAATGGAATAAAGTAACATAATCACGCACGTCCTCTCGTTTCACGTTCACTAATCCACTATCTATCTAAACACGAGCATGCGAATATCTTATCTTTTCTAGTCCCTAAAGTATGAACATTCACCTAATCATTATCTTATCTTAGTTTACGCTACTGTTTATATATAATAGCGATCATTTGACCACTTCTTTGTTATGACTGGAATTGGAGGAATAGCCTGTTTTCTTCACAATTATCATCACGAAAAACTGGCCGTGAACAGGAAAAACTAAACATCACATAACTGGGCTGACGTGAAGCCTGTATTTGATTTTAGGGGGAAAAGCTGGTTATACGATAGAGTTGAGAGTCAGAATGCTTCTTTTTTTTTTCCCCAAAAAATTTGTATATTTTCGTCATCTGCCATATTTTTAAGCTGACACTGACAAAGAGCATTGTTTGTCTTTATAAATATGTTTGGATTGTACCAATAGGAGTTGTATCAAGATTTGAATCTCTAAAAAAATACCCATATTTAACACCTAATAATACCTCAAATAAGATTTTTTCAACAGGAAAATACGTATACCTATAAAAAAAAAAAAAAAACAAAGATATGCTTTGGATTCTTGCCCTTCGATACCATAATCTATTTCCTACTTTGTTTCAGAGATGCAAGAGGCTAACCTATGATGTCTTTTCTGCTTTAATCCAATGATATAAGAAAAATATCAAACGAGGCAAGTGTTTAATTTCATTAAAACATGACCGAGTCATGAATGCTTGGGGTAGATTACAATGATTTTTTTGTGAATTTCCTGGTCCTGAATTTGTCAGTATACAGGAGGCCATTTTAGGAGAAACACAGAGGAAGACCCACAGATCTAGAACCTATTAGATTCTCACTAGGCCATACATTTCTTCTAAATTCATTCTGCATTTACCGTAGAAGATCTTTCAATATGCCGCAATGGGCAAAGAATGTCGGCATGGATCACACAAATAACAATGCAAATGAATTTAATTGCTCTCATCCATGTTGATTAGTAGACGAACTTTCAGAGAACAAGATCCACATGGAAGAATTACTGAACCTGGCAAACTATCAACAGTACGTAAAGAAATCTCACTGCCATCCCTCAACAACGAATACCCCATTTTCTCCAATTCTGTAGAGTCTATGGTAAAGTAATCACCACATCTGCACTGGTAAGAGAGATCCAACGCTTCTCCAGCTTGTTCAACAATCATATCCTGCAAACTTACATCTTCTGCAACATCTGCAGCCAATGCATCCTGCCTTGAACCACGCAGCTCATTGTCGTATGTTGAACGAGAGGTTGAATTGCTGAGAATTTCCCATGCCTTCTGTACAGTGAGGAATCTATCTCCTGATGTTTGATGACTGCTTGACATCTCAGATGTCTTCAATAATTTATCAGGATGTAAATTGAGCACAGCACTGCGGTATCTGGCACGAATCTCTTCATAGCTTGCATCTTCCTTCACATTAAGAACATCATAAAGGGTTTCTTTATGGGCATTCTTGTCCAGAAGCATGTTTCTCGTTCCCAAATAGCTGCCCGCAAATGTTTTTGTTCAAATCTGACCACACCTAAGAAATAAGCAAAACATTGTATTAATACCTAACAAGCATATCTTATTGTAATCAAAGCTAAAAACATAATACTCCTCCAGTCCTTAATATAAGACCCAATTGTTAAGTTGAGTTTGGTCCTAAATATAAGACCCATTTATCGTATTTATCAATTTTCTCTAAACTACCCTTATGAATACTCCCTCAACCATAATCAAATAGAAGAGGGAGATGAGGTATTAAGAAAGATGATTATGGTGTTTTAGGAAAAATATGTCACTTTTCTTATAATTAACCAACTTACCTAACTTCCTTAATCTAATCAAATTAGTTAAATGGATCTTATATTAAGGACCGGAGGAGTATATTAATGGCTGAAGGGGGTCCAATGTATTCTACCAAGTTTTTTTAACTATCATGTTGTTCGTGAATTAGACTGCAGAGAACCACATGAAGGAAGTGACTAGCAACCGCAATCAAGAGAGAATTAAAACTATTGGTGCTAGAAAGCTCGAACATCCTTATGCTGGAAAGACAGGCTCTCCCTTTGCCCAATAGACATTCTCAAGAACCACAGGGATCTCCCATAAATTGATATCAGCTTGAGGTTTTAATGAGGTCCTGATGCTAGCCATGAAAATTGATGTTCAGGTGAGCTTAACACAGAAAATAAGCACAGAAGCCATCTAAGAGGTTCAAGAGTGGGGAAAAAAAGAACCAAATTGTCATTAGACTATTTTTTTCCTTAAAAAATATTTTTGATTCCTGTGGAAATAACCATAGTTTATCCAGTTTAGAAAGGGGCATATCCCACTCTAACGTTGACCCACGCCGCCAAAGCCTCCCCCCCCCCCCCCCGGCGAGGGAGGTGTGCTTAAGAACCAAAATGCAACAAATCTCTGACTGAAGGACAATGGGGATTGAAACAGAGAGGAATAAAATTCCCAAGGAGAATTTCACCGCAATCATCCCAAGATAAACCTCACAGGTAAATCCCCAATTCCAGCTGACCACAATTCCGGGAGGCCACGTGATTAAATATTTCGTTGGGTATTCAACAGTAAACTTTTAGAAGCATTTTTCTGGCTTTCCAACAAAAGCCACACATATTCACAATGAATCATGAAAATTTAACAAATTAAATTAAATCCACGAAGGGGGCTCCTTGATGATGGGATAAAACATCAATCTTCCAAGTGCCAAACAAAATTAGATCACTTGCAAACAAAGAGAAGTTACTTTCCGCAGTATTTTTACAGATGAGAGAGGTGGGGTACCTGAAGGAATCGGGAACACTAGGATCTCACCATGGGACGGCGGTGGCGGGCTGGCGGCTATATCACCGGAACGATTCGTGCGTGAATGTGACTGAGAGGCAGTGTGACGCTGAATGACTATGTGAGTAAGACGGGGTCAAGCTCGATTCGAGCGGAGAGAAATGGCATCTGAGTGAGGGGTTGAGCGGAGGAGGAGGTTTATGGCTAAGAGGGGCTCGGCGGCAGATGAGGCAGCGACTACGGCTTGTGAGAGAAGAGGAGGAGGTGGAGGCGGCGACAGCAGAGGCAGCGGCAACTGGTGAGATCGATGGAGCCAGCCCACAACAAAAGGATCAGCATGAACTGGCCCATTCGTTAAAGCAGATTTGATGTGGCTCAGCTCAGAACAAGGGTTTTTTCCCCCAGAAAAATTCGCTTATAACTTAGCCTCCTCTCTTTTTTTTAGTTTATAATCTGATCTTTTTCATCATGAGTGTCATCCTATGCGGCAAAAAATCTGCATATATGCTACTTTACTTTTATAAAAAAAATATTAATTTTTTTCTTTTAACATGTTTAGACCTTGTAACTTCTATTTGTACCGTTGGTTCATGTGTAGGGGAGGAGCCAACGGTCCTAATAAAATAAAGTTAAAACAAATAATTATAGGGAAAAAGACAGTAAAATACCCTCAAAATTACTAAATGACAAATTAGGGTAAGTAAATTTCAAAATCCCAATTCAGACCCCAGGTACCATTTTGGAATTTTCAAATCTTGTAAAATGACAACATTGTCCTTACTATCGGAAACTACTTCCATATAACTATTGACAACTTTTGTTTTTAAAGTCCTGATGAATATTTTTATATAGCTATTGACTACATAAAAGTAGTAAATCGCATTATTAGAGTAATCAACAACTTAGCAAGAGTAGTCATCAAAATTTAAAAATAAATGTAGTTAATAACCAAAAAAGAGTAGTCAATACATAAGAAAGAGTAGTTACTAGAGCTCCCCTGACCAGTCACCGGAGTTCCAGTAACGTGTCATCAGAGTTTAAAAATAAATGTAGTCAATATATAAGAAAGAGTAGTCACCAAAACTCCGACAACCGGTAACTGGAACTCCGGAGGCCAAAATTGCTAATGTGGCAGTATTTAAAAAAAAGTAAAGGGCATTTGTGTAATTTTACAAGAGTTGAAAATTCCAAAATAGTACCTGGGGTCTGAATTGGGATTTTGAAATTTACCTACCCTATTTTGTCATTTAGTAATTTTGAGGGTATTTTAGTGTCTTTTTTCCATAATTATATGAGAAAAATACATAAATATTAAATTAAAAGTTAAGGAAATATATAAATATTTGTAAAATAATTTTTGTTCTACTAATTTACAATTTTAAAAAGAGACAAGTAACGTGTTTTGGGCGTAAAAATAAGTAACACTGGGGAGGGGGGGGGGGGGACAAAAGGACGGCCATGGAACATATGGCCGCCATGCAAAGAGAGAGCTTCAGAATTCATTGATTGTAAGTCACGCTACTGGCTAGGCTCATCAATTGTCACTCATGCACGCTGCCTCCTTTTCTCTGCTCCGCCCACCGCTTCCCCAGTTACCCTCCTGAATATTCCCTCCTTTAACTCCTGACTCCAAATTTTTTAAAATCACTTTAATTCAACACTTCTTGTTATATTATTATGATGCTTTTTTCATGTACATATATATATATATATATATCCGCTTTCTTCTGGGTAGATTTGTGCAAATATTTTTTTTAATGCAAGTTATACCCAAGTCATCACCTTTTTCCCATAAAAGAAAGGAAGGAACTTGAATTTTAATTCGAAGATGACGCACTAAAGCATGATTCTATCAAATTTATTTAACTCTTGTTATACTTATACGTGCGATAATTAAAGAAATCTTAATTATTAAAAGATGAAAATGTAGAAAGTTCATGCTCAACGAGGATTTAAATACAATTAGATTTGATGGCATTAAAAGAAAAAAGCGAGGGTGGCGAGAGGCTAGAACAAGTTAAACAACCAGATTTCCACTAGAGCCACTCTGAAACACATTGAAATATGGCAACTCACTGACAGGATTGAAATTTACTACAGCCTGGCTACTGCATTCTTCGCTTCATCTGCCATTCCAAATACGAAACCAAACCTAAACAAGACAGACACTTTCAAAATAACTCGAAGCTGAAAATTAACAACACACGTACGGCAAATGGAGAAAGCCAAAAACCCTATAGTAACCACTACCAACTTAACCACCCAGGTACGCATATGGAGACCAAATTAACCATCCTTAACTAAGGATGCAAAGGTTGATAAGGGTGGTAGCCGCCGCCGCCGCCGCCAGCTCCTCCACCTAAGCCACCGCCAGCACCAGCGCCACCAACCCCACCCACGCCACCTCCACAACCGCTAGCTCCACCTAAACCTCCGACGCCACCTCCAGCACCACCCAAGCCTCCCGCACCGCCCCCACCAAGTCCACCTAAGCCTCCAGCTCCACCTCCGAGTCCACCAAGGCCTCCCGCACCGCCACCCAAGCCACCTATACCACCGCCGAAACCCTTATGGCCACCACCAATTCCAACGAATCCACCGATACCGCCGAACTTGCCGAGACCACCTCCGACACCGAACTTGGGCAAAATACCCCCAACGCCAGCAAAACCACCCATGCCAGCGAACCCACCGACTCCGCCGACGATAAAGTGCTTCTTCTCAGCAATACCAGTGGCCACAGGGGACTCAGCAGGCACTGGTGCGCTTGCATGCACGAGAGTCTGCTCTCCTCCATGGCTCGTATTGCCAGGTACCTTACGCGCACTTGCATGAAGTATGAATAGTAAAAGAAGGATCGTAAATGGGAGGGAAGAACAGCGTTTTGCCATTTTCGGATATGGCTGGCTAGCTCCTTCACTAGTCTCAGTGAGAGTGCGAGGGGAAGAGATTTGAAGGGTGATTTCTGATTTGCATGCAAAGGGGTCGTCTCTGGTCTCTTATATATAACCGAGGAGTTGAAGAAGAGGGGGGAGGACAGGTGGGAGTAGTAAATAATATTGTAAATGGTCTCTGGAGATCTCGAGAAGGCAAATTTTTGGGATCAATAATCACAGCCCAGGGGATCGAGTGAGGCAGGTGGGCATCGCGACAGGACGACCAAATTTAAGGTTGTCATGTGTCAATGTCAATCTCATTCATTCATGGGAATTCTCATTTCCTTTTTTGCGCTCGCTATAATGCATTCTATTTTCTTTACTTTTTTTTTTAATTTTATATACACAAGCGGAGTTTTATTTGGCTTCTAATTTTATATGATTGTCACTGACAAATTAATGTGTTTAAATGACCTAGTTGATGTTTTATTCCTGGATATTTGGAAATTAGGATGCTCCTATAATTTTATTGGGGACTGATTGATCTTTTAAGGAAGCATTGAATATATATAGGAAAATTTCTACGTGTCTTCACAGTAGTACTTTTGGGTTCTTATTACCTCTCTTCCATGCTAGAATAAAAGGGCAGAGAGGGACAGAAACTACGTCAATTTGTGCGACAAAACTATGAGGTCACATCCTTACGTACCGTGGTGAAGCCAGGAATTACAAAGCAAATAAACTCGGTGAGAGCAAGGCAAAACAGCATAGGTGCGGATAAATTAAAGCAAAGGGATATTATACTTAATATCACTTTCGGTTTTAATTATAAGATTTTATTTATAATTTACAAATAAAATCTTATTATTAAGACCGGAGATATATACAGAGACAGTAATTGAGACTGGGCCCGACACCAATAGCCCACTGGACCCTTTGGGTCGGGCGGATATATCTGGGAACACAAATAACCCTATTAAGAAAATGTTGACAAATTAATACTTAATTTCCACATCATAAAAATTTTCCTGTGTTTTTGGAAAGTCAATAAATATGCGAAATGATGAATGGCCGCATTAATAATTGATTAAAAAGTTGAGATTCTTCGCCCCGTAAAAAAGGAAAATTAAGGAGCGTGGGAAACGAAATTGTCCTTCCTAAATTACAGTAACCCTCAGTTCCATCGAAAATTTTAAATTTACGCTCTAAAATTCTCACTCACACCGCCTCGGACAAATATTTTCTCTTCTTCGCCAACCATGTCTTCTGAAAATACGGTCTTCATTCTTAACTTTTGCCCTCCCACTGATCTTTTCCCTTCTTTCTGAATTTACCAACAGTCTTTTTTTTTAATGTGTGTTCTTGATCTGCATATATATACACATTGATTTGAGTTAATTTGTTTAATTTCATGATGTTAATCAATGTGTTTTGGTTCATCCTTTATATTTTCAGGAGTGTTTCTTCGAAATCGATACTGGAGATGGCTGGGAAAAGTCTCTGACTAAGATTTTGAGCAGCTTTGAAGGTATGTCCTCCAACTTGCACTTCTTGTCGATAAAATATAATTCTTGTCCCAAACTATCCAAGTTTTGAACTTTAGTTATTTTAATATCTCATCTTTAATTCGGACCTTAGGATTTCAAGCATTCCGAAATCTACCGTAGACAATACATGTCCTGCGTATAACATAATTGTAACAGGAACCTTTTCTTAAATATGTATGGTGCCCATCTTTACATTTGAAAGTTCCAGAGGCTATACATGTTCTTATGTTAAGCTTACAGAAATCATATCGCGTTTCACTGTTTTGCTTAATTTTTAATTAAATATTTATTTAAATGTTTATATATATCTTGAAAAAAAATATTTTGGTCCTCACTATTATCGATCGGTGAGCCTTACTTATACTCATATATGATCTCGCACGTACGTATATCCTGATATATATATTTTGATTCTTATGTTCTCTCTAGAATTTGTGTCGCTTTGAAATATTTGCAGACCCAGTTTTCGACATCAATCCAACGTTGGGATATGCATATGTGAAAGGCAAAACAGATCGACAACAAATTTTGAAGAAGCTAAAGAAAGGTGGGAAACATTCAGAGCTAAAGAGGATCACTTTTGGTACTGAGGGAGACAATCCTCATAACCATCCTTATGCCACCTCACTTTCAAAAACGGGACCTCTTTATGATCCTTATTATTATGCTAACGATCCTTATAATTATCATTCATACGCTAATTACAACCCTTGGCAAAATAATAACCATCTTAATCACTTATTTATGAACAATGCTCGTAATTACCATGGAGCCTATCATCATCTTCCCCGTGAATATTGGAGGGGCTCCTCCCACCGCCGACACGACTCATCGGTGCCGACTTCTTCGACGTCTTCATCGAGAACCTCGTCGTCCCGCCCGGTGACGGAACCAGAACGATCACCTCGGCCACCTGTGACAGAACCACCACGTTCTGCTCCTTCCACTAGAAGGCTCGCATTCATCATCAAGAAAGTGTTTTCCATTAAGAAAGTTACTGGGAAGTTTCGTTCGTGCTTCAGGTTCTGTGATAAAATCAAATAAATCGTTCATGTAGCTTGCTTATTGTACTTAATCTGGGATTATATAATATAGTTTGAATTTAGATGTCAGTTATGTGGTGACAGGTAATAATGTCGTTTTAGTTTATGTTTTTCCTTCGCAAATATAACATGCGGATTTGGAAATGTTGAGTTAGTTAGTTAGTTAGTTATCAGTTTGGTTATTTGGATACAGAACTTTATAATAATGTCGTATGAAGGGTTTAGAAGATTAAATATCAATATGTTTTCGGTATGCTATATTGTAAAATTCGTGGACATGTGGTACACAAATTTTATAGACACGGACAAATAAGATATCACAAAACTCTTGTCACGACTTGATGATACTTTTGACTTTAACCCTTTACTTGGGAACCGCGAAGCTAATCACAGCATAAATTTTGAATAAGAGTGATTAACAAACGAATCCTCATTTATAGCCATCGCATATTGATAAAGTGAAGAAGATCTATGTGCAGATATGGAGAATTAATTGGTGGCACAAAAAGAGCTTACCAAATCTCTGACGTGATTGAGCGTCCCACGAAATCGTCAAGAGTACTGCCATAAAAGTAGACTAGGCACAAAAATCCATCCATAAAGTATTTATTTATGCCTGTATATACATAACTCAACAAATTATTGTACATACATACATATATATATATACACAGAGAGAGAGAGAGAGAGAGAGAGAGAGTTATAGTGGTTGTTTGAATTCATTATATTAGAAGCTTCAATTCAGAGATTAAAATGGCGTACTCTCATCATGTCTCAACCATTGCCAACAAACTGATGCTAATTGCAGCCATGGTGATGATGTTCCTGCTCTCATTTGGTAAGTACGTACGTGTACAAAATACAAATGCATATGTGTGTTGTTTAATGATCATAGTTTGGTGTTTGCTGATAATTAACGAGAATGATGAAAATGATGATGATGATGATGCAGGGATGAGCAAACAATATTGCCCAGGAACATGTGGAGAATTTCCAGGGTGCGATGATTATTGCAAACTGATTGGCTATAAGATAGGACAGTGCATCCCTCCTCAGAATCACTTCTGCTGCTGTGCTATATAGTTACTAGCTACCCCGTTAATACATATATTCCCAGCTTACATGTATGAAGTTTTCATATATAATAAATAAACTATATATGCGTTGATCTTCGTGCTTTGTAAATCCCTTCTTCATGCTTAAAATAACAACGAGCTTGGTTTTATCGGTCCATTCTCGAATATGTGATAAACTGTTATTGGCATTTCACGAGAGAAAATGAACTTGGCAAATCCATGTATATATAATTGTATTCATCTGGCATCAATAAATATTATTGATAAAAAGAAGTAGAGGTAAATTGTATTCATGTCGCAATAAGGTAAACATCTGATTCCGAAGCCAGAATTACGCTGTATCAGTTGGCTATTTATGCGTACTGTTGTATTCATCGACTGAATAAATATTATTGATAAAAAGAAGCAAATTTAGACAAAAACAAAATTAATAAAGACCGAACCACTTGAATAATACGGGGAAAATAAATTATTTAAAGAATACACACACACACACGAGTATATACATGTGCATGTTGGAAAAGGTATGAGATGGTATATATGCTCAACAAACGCAGTCGATCATTACATGAATTTTATTATGATGTAGCGAGCATATAATTAATTAAGTTTTATTCAGTCACATTGCGGTGGTATATCATTATAATTAATCAATTATGTATATATTTTTCCGATTACTGTTTTATTCTTTGCAACCTATTTTTTCACTTTATTTACTCATTTTACATGTTTTAAAACAAAAAAATGTGAAAGACAGCAAAATACGATCATGCTCATTAATTAGCCCAATTCGACGCACGGTTGCTCCCAGGATGCCAGATCCCCTCTAACTATAAAAGATAGTAAATACTATATTACTTTCAATTCTCAATATAAAAACTATTTTGATATTTGATTTAGTTATAAATATAAGACCTCAATTTATTTTGTTTTTTATATTTATCTATTTTCTCAAGATAGTCCTTTTGATAGTTACATATCTTAAAGGTTTTATCAAATGATAGTTATAACTAATAAACATTATTAGCAAAGATATTTTAAAAAAGATAATACCTATTTATTACAAATAACTAATTTTATTAATTCTATTCAAATTAGTTAACTAGTTCTTATACCTCTTGTCTTTCATATAAGAGCTAGTAACTAATTTGAGTAGATTAAAAGTTTGTTAAGTTAGTTATTTATAATAAATATGTGTTATATTCTCTAAAATACCCTTACTAATCATGTGTATTAGTTATAACTATGATTTGATAAAATATTTAACATATGTAACTATTATAATGACTACTTTAAAAAAAAAAGATAAATATAAAAGATAAAATGAATTAGGATATTATATTTAAGACTAAATTAAATATCAAATTAGTTCTTATATAAAGAATTGAAGTTAGTAACTAACAAGACAGGCACATTGGAAACAATTCATCAGCTCATTTTATTGCCATATTATTATAAAAGTCTGAAGTTACACCTATTATTACTTTTTTTTTTTGGTTACAAGGTCCACCTACTTATTTAAACTAATTATTACTATTTATATTTTTTAAAATTAATATATGAAATGCACGACTTTACCTTAAACACTTTCTAAAATTTTAAAAAGATGTTATATATCTAAATGATTATTTTTTGTTGTTGCCAGAATTCCAAATGATTCTTATATCAACTCAAAATTCCCCTTCCTATTCCGCGTTCCTTATTTATCGCCTTAACATTTGAATCGCTGTTTCTAGAAGATAACCACAATATTATCTCAATATCTTACCGCCACCTCACATCACATATTGAAAAGATGAGGATTGAAGAAGATCCGTTGTTCAGATATGGAAAATTAACGAGTGATAGAAAAAGAGACCCCAAAAAATCTCTTCACTTAATTGCATTGCGTATCTTACAAAATCTTATTCATTAATCAAATTGTCAAAAGCAGAACAATTTATGCGTATATATACACACACAAGGTTGGCCAATCCATGTACACATATTATCATAACTAGAGTCAGAGAGAGAGAGAGAGCTGAATATTTGAAGAAACGAATATAAAAAATGGCGTACGGTCGCGAGTTGTCGCCGATTGGGATCTGCAAATTGGTGCTTGCAGCGATGGTGATGATTCTGATGGCGTCATTTGGAAAGAGCACAACATACTGCCCAGGACCCTGTTTCCAGATGCAAAGGTGTGACACTTACTGCAGAAAAATTGGCTTCCAAACTGGCGAATGCATTGCTGCTCAGCATGGCGACTGTTGCTGTACCAAAAATGATTGATTCATCAACCTTCCTCCAAACTCATTATATCAAATAATAATAATAAACCATGCTTATTATAATCGTCTTGCTTACTTGATCTCTCTCCATATATGGTTATGATAGTAGCGATGATTTGAGTGAATTTACCTTTCGTGTACCTTCACATTATTATATCTTTTGAACATTGGGGTTCACGACACAGAATCACCCGCACGAATGTAGCTATCGTGTCATTATTATATTAGTCCAACAACGTAACTCATAACTAAACCATCAAACTACAAAACATGCAAAAACATGCAATATCCCAGAAATTACAAGATAACCATCGCCGGTGGAGAATCCAGCCGCCGTCGCTGGCGGAGGATACCACCACCTCCGCACCGGCATCTGAGAAGAAAATGGGGAGATGAAGGGATGAAGGGATCGTTTGAGACGGAAACGACCAGGTAAAAGGAGAGGGACTGAGAAAGAGGGAGGCTTCCCACTTTATGATGAGTTCTTTTTTCAGTACCTTTTGATCTAAACATCAGTAACGTTCTTTGAAAAGTAAGCTGGATCAAAACATCAACGAGCTCTTATGTATCATATTTTTTTGAGTGCCGCAACTCATTCGAAAACTAAGTAATTAAGAACATGCAACATTATATTAATCCTCTCAATGAAAAAGCCATCCTTCAACGATATAAATCTTCCCGAAGCATAGTTTCAACAGTTGGCTCCATGTTCTTCTATATTTACTCATTTCACATATTTTAGAACGAGCAATGAAAAGACAACATGATGCTCGGAGTCATCACTTAGCCCAATTCGACAATGGCAAAAGATGAACGCCTTGGTGAGGATGCAATGGAGCTTGCTTTGTCGCTTTTAAGGTACGAGCTTGGTCTTGCAGGTTCTGAAGTTTCTGCGCCAGCCCCAGTAAGAGGTGTAGGAGAGTCCTTTAAAAGGGTGTCAAAATCTGCTAATTCCTCACTCACTTGTTTAATTTCCTGGATCATGGTTGCCACATCCCTCATTGTAGGTCTTTGATTTGGGGCAGAAGCTAAGCACAATAGGGCAATGCCTAATGCTTCCTTCATCTCTTCTATGTCTGATTCTGGTGCAGATTGTAAGGCAGCGTCAAGGACTTCTACTTGTCCATTCTTTTGTCTCACCCAGTCAGCAATGTGTAACCCATCCGGTATGCTTGGATCAATCGGTTTCTTACCTGTCAGGACTTCCAGCATCACTACACCGAAACTATAAACATCACTCTTCTCTGTGATCTTCATCATGTAGCCGTACTCTAAAAGAAACAAACCAGTCAGATTCATAAATCCATAGTTAATTGAGTTAATTTCATGGCATTTATTAAAAACATTTTATATTTGGTATGATGATTAAATTTTCCATGGAAATTAAAGGATGCAAATCTAATTTTGTAAAAGTCACTAAAACCAGAACCTGTACAATTTATGACTCAAATTGGTGTTATCTTATGCTTCTTAACTAGTATTTTGGATATAATTGTAACATGAAATTAAGATATATATGATAACAATTAAAACTTATTACCTCTGGTTTTAATTATAAGACTTTATTTGTAGTCTACAAACGAGGTCGTATAATTAGAACCAAACTAGAAGTAGGACCTTAAATGAAAACAAAGTTTACAAGTGAGAGATAAGGAAGAACATTAATGCATTGAAGTGTGTAAGTATACTGACCAGGCGCAATATATCCCCAAGAACCAGCGACCATACTGGAGGAGTTTCCGAAACCACAGTGGTCAACAAACTTAGCTAAGCCAAAGTCCGCAATGCAAGCATCAAATTCAGGTCCAATGAGGATATTACTGGGTTTGATGTCTCTATGAACAATTGGAGGGTCACTATCATGGTGAAGATACGCAAGGCCTTGTGAAACACCTAGCAAGATTCGGTACCTAACTTCCCATTCCAAACGAGAGTTTTCATCCTCCCTTTCATGAAGTAGACTGTCTAAGCTCCCATTTGGCATATACTCATACATGAGCAATCTTGTGGTGTGATTCCAACAGTATCCTAGGAGTTTCACAATGTTCCTATGCCGGATTAAACCGAGGATTTTCAGCTCTCTCGAGAAAGAGTCCCATGCTCCTCTCTTGTCATCATTGGGTCCCTCACTTGAAAGCACTGGAGTTGGCCACAATTTCTTCACGGCTATGGCTTCATCATTACCAATATCGACACGATGCACAACTCCTGAGCATCCTTTTCCTATTATATTTTTGTCTTTTAAGCCTATAAGTACTTGCTCTGCTGAGAAATTCAACTTCTGAAATGGAATGAATTGCCATGTCCATGTGCTTCCCATCTCTGAATCATTGTCTCTTATAGTTCTTGCCCTGGGAAGTGAAATGATCACTATAACAATAAAAGTCACTATCAAGGCTACCAGCAACCCGATGACCAGTTGAAGAATTCTTGAGTTCATGTTTTTAGTCGAATGTTTCCTGTGCGAATCATTAAAGAAGCATGAATCCTGAATCCGAGAACAAAGACCAGTGTTTCCCATAATTTCTTCTGGTGATAAGAGTCTAAAAATCCTAGTGTCAGGAAGATGGCCAGTGAAGTTGTTGTAAGAAATATTAAGAGAAACAAGACTTGCAAGGTGAGAAAGAGGCCGCAAATCTCCTTTCAACATATTATGTGAGATGTCCATCGCTGAGAGCATGTTTAGCTTGGAGATTTCAGCAGGAATTGGTCCTTTAAGAGAGTTGTGACTAAGGTTAAGAACAACTGCAAGAGTTTTGATATCACCTAACTCTTTTGGTATGCTTCCAGTGAGTTCATTGCTACTAAGATCAAGCATTTGGAGTTTTGAACATAAACCAAGTGATTGAGGAATGGTTCCAGAGAATTTGTTTCTGCTAAGTAGCAGATCAATCAAGGAAGAAAGATGACCCAAGCTGGCTGGTATTTGACCTTCAAATTTATTATTAGACGCATTCAACACTAAAAGATTAGGTAGTGTTGACAATGACTCAGGCAGTGGACCTTCCAAGTCATTGTTGCTCAGGTTTATCATTTCCAATTTTAAGCAGCCACCAATATCATCTGGCAATGACCCGTTCAGGTGGTTGTCAGAGATATCACAAAAGTTTAAGTTCTTCAAACCACCAATTGTCTTTGGAATCTCACCATAAATTCGATTGTTTCTAAGATTCAGCCTTTCAAGAGAGCTGCAACTTCCTATCTCAAGTGGAATCGCTCCTGAGATATTAGTGAAAACTAACTCCAACTCTGTGAGGTTTTGAAGTAGAAAGAGGCCTTTTGGAATGCTTCCAGTAAATGAATTCCAAGATAAATCTAGCTTTTGGAGGTTACTGAGATTGGCTAGAGTAGAAGGGATGGTTCCTTCTAGCTGGTTGTGCCAAGCATAGAACTGAGTGAGCTTTTGCAACCTCCCAAGCTCTAGTGGAATCAAGCCTGAGATTTGATTCTTGTAAAGCTCCAAACGCTGCAGATTTGTGGCATTTGAAAGAGTTGAAGGTATAAAACCAGAGATATTGTTTTGAGCAACCAAAAACTTCTCGAGCTTCATGAGATTACCTACAGATAGAGGGATGGTTCCAGATAGAGAATTCATAGAAAGCTCAAGTGTTCTCAAGCTTGTACAATTACCAAACTCTTTAGGAATAACCCCAATAATAAAATTATCCCATAAACTCAAAATCTGCAGCTTTGGAAGCTTCCCTAGATTAGATGGAATAGAGCCTGATAGATTATTTTTGCATAGGCTCAATTCAACAAGCTCCGAGCAATTACCTATTTCCGATGGAATCTTACCAGAAAGCATAGTATCACAAACAGACAACCTTTGAAGCTTTTTAAGCCTACCCAATGAAGCTGGCAAAGAGCCCGATATGCTGGTTCCAGTCAACCCCAAATAAATCAAACTAGTGCAATTTTCCAGCTCATGTGGTATACTCCCGGCAATGAGTTTATTCCTTCCTGCTCTAAAAACCTGAAGTTTTGATAATTTTCCCAACAAAGGCGGGATAGTCCCACCGAGCTGATTATTTGAAAGGACGAGATATTTTAGGCCAGTGCAATTACTTAGCTCACTTGGGATTTCTCCGCTGAGAAAGTTGGAGTTTAAGGCCAAAGTCTCCAGATTTGGTAAATTCCCAACACTCGCAGGAATGGAGCCAGTGAGGTTGTTATGGCTAAGATCAATAACAGTAAGGCCAGAACAAGCACCAATATCGAAAGTGATATTTCCAATGAGATTTGCATCTGACATGACAAGTTCTCTAAGGAAACGAAAGGACGAGAGATTGGAAGGTAGAGGCAAGTTAAGAGGGACAGAAACAACATCAATTTTTGCGACAAAACCTTGAGGAGAACAAGTTATGGAGGTCCAATTGCATGGGTTTCTGTCACGAATGTTCCAGTCAGAGAAATGTGAAGGGGCTGGGGAGGGTGAGCTGTGAAGCCATGAATAAAGCAGATACGCTTCATGGTTATAAGAGAAAGCATGGGTACACAAGACAGTGGTGACGACAAAGAAAAAGGCACTGAAAAGCGAGAAGACAGAGAAGAAAAATACCAATATCTGCCTCATTTTCGAAATTTTTGCATCCTCTTTCTCTGTGAACCTATACTAAATACTAGTACTTCAGCTTCTGGGACTGAATCCCAAGCAAACCATGCGTTGACACCTCATCGGCAAACATGCAGAAGTACAACTGTACCTCCTCTGATGTGATGACTCATGAAAAAGCCAACTGGTCCATGGCTGCATGAATAAGTGGTAGAAAGTTGAGATTTTTCCTCCGGTAAAACAGGAAAAGGAGTTTTAAGGCCTAGTAAAAAGCGCCTCTACACCGGGAGAGACAATAGTTTTCTATCCCATGTGCCAAAAACAAATAAGTTGTATATTATAATGTATAATTATGTGTATGTTGTAACCGTATGAGCAAAAATTACTTTGGATGAGTCTTGACCTCTAGGATGCCATCTGTATCTTTTTGTCGGTGGTTCAAACTTCTATATACGCTTGAGTTACAATTTAATTAACCCCTCCCAATGTGTTTTAATTATATTATGAGTTTTGACTATGAATGGAAGTATTTTGGCCATGCAAAAGGGGAAAAAAGAAAACTTCACAATACGCGAAGCAGTACTCAGGCCAAAAAAACACGTAAAGCAGTACCAGAAGAACAAGAGCATTATCCCTTTTTCCTTACAGTCAAGTGGTTTAATTTTTTAGGAAGCTAAACACTAGGGAGATTATTAACTATTGAAATTGAATATGGGCTGGCACGCAAATAAATGAGACCTGAATTTTTGACTAAAACGCTCACAAAGAGTGGAAAGGATTAGAAGAGGGTAGCGCACCGAGGCCAGACTCAGCCGTATATGTGAGCAAACTCCCAAAGTGTTTGTTTCAGTTTTGGCATCTTCTTCACAATTATCAATGTAACTTCCAGTGGGCATGACCCTACTTTTAATTCACCAATATTTTAATATAATATTCCAACATGTTATTAATCAAAAGGTCAAAATATGTTATTAATCTTTTCGCCAATTTATTTATTCTACTATCGTTCTAAATATAAAAAGTAGTTAGAGATTCAATTTGTTTAGAAATATAAGATCATAGTCTATCTATTTTTTTAAAAAATAGTCCCAATAATAATTTTACATTTCAAGATTTTCATTTTAATACATATGGTAAATAAAGGTATTTTAGGTAAGGCTACACATATTTATTATAAATAACTAATTTAACTAATTTTTTTAATATTTATAAATTATTTATCTAGCTCTTATATTAAAGAAAGAAAGTAATATTAACAATAAATAAAACGAAACTGAGAACCTACATTTGTGAAGAAGGAGCATTAGTCAAATGTAACCTGCCATAATTTCTTTTGGTTAAAAAGAGACTCAATAAACAATGCTAGTACTTGCTCAAGAATTTTTTTTATAAACGTCATGTATTTTTAAGAAATATATCGTTTATAAATATAATTAAATTTATTAATCAAAACAAGACATATAATTTTAATAATATAATAAATATATGATTTTTACATATAATTGTATCGTGGTTTTTCTTCAGCCCAAACCCGAAAAAGGATGTTCTTAAATATCAGACCCAATTCAGATACCCAGACTAATCCAACCCGCGGGCCAGGTGATGATTGGTTTCGATCCAATATCAAGCTAAAAATATGTTTGTCTGCAAACGAGCAAAAAGACCAATTTCGCTTGTTCTCAGTGACCCGGCGTTCTTTCCCCCAAAAAAAAAAAGGTGACACAGTTCACAGTTTGCCTGAGAACCGTCGCCCCCCTTCGCCGTCGCCGCCACTCGCCAACTGGCCACCATAGCAGCAACTGCTCGCGTCTTGAGTCTTTTACGGCTGCGGTATGTGGCTCATCGTCATTTTTCTGTTCTGATAGAGAGAGACCCCGCGGATAGAAAAGTCTGTGAAATCTGTTTTGATTGTTATGCCAAAATCATTTGTTATGGTGAGTCACCGAATTGATTCGTATTTAGTTGAAGGGCCTGGTTTCTTTTTGTATTTCACCACATTTGTATAAACACCTTTTGTTTGAGGATTATCGAGCACCTAGAGCTCGTAGGTTGCTCAAGGATGCCCCAAGTATCATTGTCAAGATAGAAGATCACCGAATTGGAATTTATATGAACGACCCCTTGCTTTTCACTCACTGCATATTCAATTTTTTGGACGTCTTTGTACTATCCAATATTGGACTTCGGTTCCTTGGTCCCCCCTCAAAACCTCTAATGCATTTCCATGCATTTTATCAATGTAACGCTTGTGGCTTTCTGATTATCCATAATCAAAGTTGAAGGATGTTGTTTTCACAATAGTGACAGCTTGTCCTGTTTCTGCTGGCACTTAGATTAAAGCAGACGCCTCGGGGAATGGCGGCTGCTGCAATAGCCAATGCTTCGGGGCGAGTACTGTCACAGCCAGTTACTTTTGTCACTGGCAATGCCAAAAAGCTTGAAGAAGTACGCGCTATCTTGGGCCAGTCCGTTCCTTTTAAGTCCATCAAGCTTGACTGTAAGATTTCTGTCCGCTCTTAAATTTTTGCTTACAGTTCTCCTGCATGCCTGATTTTTCTTATTAATTTTACAGTGCCAGAGTTGCAAGGTGAGCCTGAAGAAATCTCTAAAGAGAAGGCTCGATTGGCTGCTGCTCAGGTACTTAGCTACTTTGTTCTCTTATAAACAGATGAACTTGTTTGACTTTAAGCTATATTTCTTGGTTTTTGTTCTATTTTTTTCTCCCTTTTCATTTGTATCTTTTTTAATGCATGGCAAGATTAATGGACCCGTACTAGTGGAAGATACTTGCCTCTGTTTCAATGCCTTGAAGGGCCTCCCAGGTGGATGTCATATTCTTATTCTTCATGTTTTGTATTATTATCTGAACCTATTAAACTTGACTCTGGGTCTTTTTACATGTTTGAAATTGTTGCAGGGCCTTACATGTAAGTTCTGTTTCACAAGCTTATAGCACTATAAAGATCTCTGCAGTAGCCAAGGGACTATTCTGTTATATTGTTTCTGTTCCTTCGATCAAAATTTCTGTGAAACTAGTTTATCTTGTTGGAAGCCAGGGAAGAGGTATAATGGTACAGATTTGTAGAAGAAAAGATGAGGAAAATAGGGAAGGAGAGGGAAAGAGAAGGAAACAAGAGAGAGACTGAATTGCACTGTTGTTAGAGATCCAATATAGGACTTACAATCATTACTACCTTCATATATAGAGTCTATAGGTAATGACTATATTCTAACATTTAGCTAACTAACTATACCTCCTATATACTATACACGTATCATATAACTTCAAGACGGGACTGAACTTGATATTGATTACAAGGCTTCTCAAGACATATGGTAAAGCGGCTGAACCTATCAGCCACGTTTCAACTGAACAAAATTCATTTTGGCATTTTGGTGTTGACTTAAAGTTGGAATCATGGTTAAATATTGCCTCTAGGTTGATTGGTAATCTTCAAATGTGCAGCGCAATACATGATTCTTCCTTGGTTGGATTTACTGTGTCCCCAAATTCATTTGGATTTTGGAGTTTATAAAATGAATATATCTTTAAGTGTTGATATTGATTACAAAGCTTCTCAAGACATACGGTAAAGTGGCTGAACCTATCAGCCACGTTTCAACTGAACACAATTCATTTTGGCATTTTGGTGAGCATGGTTAAATATTGCCTCTAGGTTGATTGGTAATCTTCAAATGTGCAGCGCAATACATGATTCTTCCTTGGTTGGATTTATTGTGTCCCCAAATCCATTTGGATTTTGGAGTTTATAAAATGAATATATCTTTAAGTGTTTTTTTATCTTCCATTTGTACGCAATCTTCTTCATGTCCTTGACATGCTTGTCGTAAAAGCTAATGCCTAGTGGATAGCTTGTTAACCAAAATGCGGCTTGAAGAGTTCTGAGATTGATACTCTGCATTGCTCGCTTGTTATTTGTGCTGTAGAAAATTGAAAGTGATTGTTCTATTCTCAAGGTCAAGCAACTTTCCCATAAAGTCCTTTTTTTTGGAGTTTTTTTCCCTATTGATTATAATAAGCAACGGAAAATTTAAATTCATTATTAATAGGATGCATGATCTTATTTCTATAATCACTGATGGACATTAATTGATTTGTTGGATGAATCATGCAGCAAATGGTTCCTGCAGAAGATTGGTCACGAAGGTCTTGCCCTAATTGCATAATGTGTACATTGATTTTCAGTTCTATATTTGTTTGCAAGGCTGTCTCAAGAGTTCTGGTTGACCACTCCTCCAATTCATTTATCAGGTCTCAACAATTTGTTGGTGGCTTACGAAGATAAATCAGCTTATGCATTGTGTGCCTTCTCCTTTGCTGGTGGGCCTGGTTGCGAACCTGTGACTTTTATTGGAAAAACTATGGTATTTCTTTAAATTTTTCCGGGGCTGTGTGCCAGAAAACGTGTTTATATATTCTTTACATCTACTGAAAGGAGCTTATGTTAATGATGGATTCATTCATAATTCTGGTTGAATGCTAGGGGAAGATTGTTCCTGCAAGGGGACCAAATGATTTTGGATGGGATCCAATTTTTCAACCTGATGGCTATGACCAAACGTAATTTTTACCTTTGGTATTATATTATGCTCTGGTATTTCATAATTATCAACGGAATCTAATTGGCTTTCTTTGTTCTATGCATAGTTATGCAGAGATGACGAAGGAAGAAAAGAACAAAATTTCCCACCGTTATAAAGCTCTTGATATGGTGAAGTCACATTTTGCCGAAGCTGGATTTACTTTTCAGATTGACAATGTCTAAGAGCTTTTTGTTGCTATGGAGTAGATTCTATAGGCGCGACATTTTATGAGCTTGGTTGGTTCCATTGTTCAGTAGCCTTCTGCTTGTGAAAGGAGAATTGCTTCTTGGTTGACATTTGGCACTTAGAATGCGTTTGATGAATTGAAATCAGTGAGAATGAAAAGGGAAATGATGAATTGGCTTTTTTTCTGTTTTAAGGGAAATTCTAGAGATAAATGACGAGAATGAAACAGCCGGGTAACTGTTTCAATCTCATCCTTTTTATATATAGATTTTTGTTCCTGAATGGAGAATAATGGGATCAAGCCCCATTTTCCAATTATGGCCAGATCTTTTCACTTTTTTAAAATTTCATAAGCTAATTTATTACTCTTCTGGTCCTATTTATAAGTCATTTCTAACATGATTTATATAAACCAAAGAAAACTTTAAACTTCATTAACTTATTTAAAATTCAACTTTTTAACTTTATCCCTATTTAATTTATATTATACCTCGTAAAAATAAAATCAACATAATAATAAATAAAAAGTAAGGATATACATCCATACAGAAAACTTTTTCTCAATGCCTTCTAAAGAGGACAAAAAAAATATTTTTTCTCTTTCTGTCTTATAAATAGAACGGCCTGTATCACGGGTTAAATGAATCACAATGATATTGTCACCAAGTTCAAAAAACAAAAAAAGCAACTGCTTCGCATGAAAATTTCAAGTGAAGGAAGGTGACAGGATTGGGTTGAGAGGCAACGCTGACAATGATGAGAGCATGTTATTTATGATGATGTTAATTAATGAAGTGTCTTGAAAATGCGGAATGAAATCCTGCGAAGTGGGTGTGTGTTGTATCTTTTTGGAAAAGAGAGTGTGCGACCGGCCAATCACTCAACTTTGCTTATCATGGAATGCAATTAAAAATTAGGGGAACCAACCACATTAAGTTCTTATCGCTCATAGCATAACCACATGTCTTCTTTGGCTCTCTGATTGATTTGACCCTTTTTGATTTGGTCACCTGAATGTACCCCCCTAACTGCACCCCCAATTTCTGTCGGTGCACAAGATTTCTACTTATAATCTGACACAAATGGTTGCATTTACACATAACCATTTCCACTTCAATTTTTTTAGGCTAAAACGTCAATTAACAGAGAATAAGAATACACATGAAATTTATTATTTTTTCCAGCTTCAATCTCCTTGCTTTCCTAGGTTTGTAAATCCAGTTCTGAAGTTAATATGGGGCAGTAATGAAATGAAAAACACGTTGCACTTTGCATCTTCTCAATGACAGTAACTTTGTGCATTTAATTGAAGTTTGAACGTATTTCATACTCTACCTAGAAGCTCTTCATCCAAGCAGAATTGACTTTGGTAACAAATGGAACTAGGATGAAGAGAATGTGGAATGCAGGAAATGGGAGCTGAGAGGATAATGCAGGGAGATGGGGCCCTAATCCAGCACAGATGCCATATCATATGCTTTGAGTATTGAAGTGAAAGTGAAACTCCTCACATGCCAAATGGGACCTATCTCACATGCCTCACCATCTCAACATGTGCCCTTGGGCTTCCTCTCTCCACTTGCATGCACGCATTTACTTCCTTGCCACAACCAGGACGTGTCATTTCCCTCAATATAGGTCCATAATAACACTTTTAATTTTTCAGTTATATTCAACTCCCACATATTCATATGCTTTTTACTTATTTATTTATACTTTGGAGATTAAGCTTGCTAGAGAATTTCTGCGCATTTAAAGAAATATCTCTCACTGCTCCTGCTAGCTGCAAATGAATGAGTTCTCATTATTCCCATTTAGGAATCAATTCCTTATTGACCTATGAGGTCTCTTGGTAGGCATAACCAGCAGAAATGATCACCGTCTTCAGAAAGCATTATGAGTCAATTACTTTGTAGACAAAGGAGAGAAATGAAAAAAGTTATTAATCGAGTGTTTACACCTAACACGCCTTTTAGAGGGACAAGTTAATTTGCTCTTTTACAAAAGAGTAGTCAATTGCTGGAGATCATGAAGGGCAAATCTCAAAGTAATCAAGCCCATTAGCAGGAGGGAGGAGGGGACAAGGACTCTTGAGTAAAAAGGGGTCATCATGTTAATTGGAAAGATAATAACAGTGTATGCATGTTGTGGGGTCGACGTGTGCACATGAAAGAATCACTCTTTGTTGGTAGGGAAACAAACATTGGCAGATGAGTTTAATGATATACAACCACAACTGCACAACCAAAAGGCAACGATTACTTCCATTGACAATGAAGAAAATATAAAAACAGAAGAAAGTTAAAAAGGTGAAAAAGGGAACAAAAAGACCACTGCTTTTGCTATTCCATCATTCATCATCATCGTCCTTGATAAAGTTTTTGCATAACTCAAGTTTGAAAATCGTGCTTTTGCTAGTTGTATATAATTGAGCTCACACCATAAGAACATTAAAAAATGGCAACAAGATAACAGGTGAAAAATCTGAATTCATTCCAAATCCTATAGAACTAAAAAAGACATGACAGTATATAAGGATCCTGATTTGACGCTGCTTCAATGGACATGGCGGGTAAGTGTTGATGGAGTGAGCTGGAATGGAGGGAAGAAGAAACAGTGGACCACGCTTCTGCTCCTGCTCCTTCAATGGCATAGTTTGTTAGGGCTGGAGCAGGATGAGCCGCTGAGGTTGACCAGTACTAGATACACACAATGTGAAAGCAAGGAAAAAAAGAGGGTACCACAACAAGTTGACGCGTGTAATAAATGTACACTTGTCAAGTACACAAGACCCTGTGAGGTTGCAAAACAATGGACATAACTTGCTTCCTGCTATAATATCGTAAAAATGCAGAGAATTGAACACAAAAGAGAAATAAAATGGCCCCTAATTTTTGGTTTGGGTTTGATAGGCAATGCTAGCACTGACGGCCTCTTTTGCAGCCGAGTGCACCAGCATTAGAAGTCATGGTGCCGACCATTGTAGAGGACTTGGCTCCTAAGCTGGAGGCTCTGGCATAGCTGGCTGAAGCTCCAGCACCAGATGGGGTGAAATAAGCACCGTTCAGCATCAGATCTCCCTCCGACCTCCAGTTCCATCCCTGCCACTGGCTTGCTGCTGTCTCCACTCGCTTTGTCACCTGCCCAACACAACACCGCCATTATGTGAGACGTCCTTTATGACTCGCTAAAATTTATTGTGAATGCCAAACATCTGTATTTAATTGTGCACCTCCTTGGCGAAGGCGTTAGGCGGAGCATTGTATCTATTCCCCTGGCTGTTGATGGTGGGGTTTGCACTCCCGCCAATCGCATACATCTCCCAGTGAGTGTAGTCATTGTTAACTACGTGGAAATATCCGTGCCTGCACCTGCATTATCCGTCACAGTATCTTGTTAGTTTAATTCATACTCCAACTTGGTATTTTGACATCCTTAACTTCGTAAGAAACTTCCGATTCACTTCAATGTGAAAGTGGTATTACAATGTTACCTTGGCATCCTCTGGATGAGTCCCTCCCCAAAATGGTTGTAAGCGATGGTCACTTGCATTTGCTTGTCCCTAATGTAAGAGTCACTGTGGCCCAGCAGAATCACCTGAATTCCAACAAGAGAACGCATAAGGGATTAAGATGAAAATTTTGTAGCTAAAATTAGTTGATACAGGAAAGGAAGGAAGTGCAGTGAACGCACCTCATTGTGGTGGGTGAAGTGGTTGTTGGAGATTGTAATGGCAGTAGAGCCCATGACAGCGTCGACAAGGCCATCAGCGCAGTGAGAGAGGGAATTGTGGTCGACCCAAATGTGACTGGATCCAAATATGGAAATGGCATCACCGTCCGCCATTGTCCTCCAACCAAAGTGTGTTGGGGAACTTCTCACCATGGCATTGCCTGTGGGTTTGCAGTCATGGATGTGGAGACCGTGGATTATTACATTTGTAACATACTGGATAGTGATGCACCCTCCGTTAGCAATGTGCACATTTGCTCCTCGCCCATCAATGGTCTTGAAGCTGTTCACAATGAGCTCCTGCTTCAATTGTATCACCATGTCACGCTTAAATACAATCCAGAGCGGCGTGTCCTGGATCACTGCGTGACGCAGAGTGCCGGGCTTTGGGTTCACCGGGTCATCGTCTCCCGAGTCAGTGACGACATAGAAGCGACCGTCACGACCACCAATGGCGTTCCTACCAAATCCAATACCGCAGTCTGCAAGACGCTTTCGGTTACGTTGCCAGCTGGGGTCGCAGCGCCAGCAATCATCAATGGGGTTTCCGGTTCCACAGGAGAAAAATCCCAACTTTCTTCTTTCAGTGCTGTTCCGGATCGTCCTAACATATCAAACACATCGTTTTCCAATTCCCGTCAATCACTCCCCCTCATATTACAAGTTCATCGGTTCTTATACTCCAGATGTTTCTGAGTTCAAAAGTTAAATCATACAACAAGATGGGTAACACCTAAAAGATTTCAGGCCAAAATGCCGTTGGCCGTTATCGTGTGGAAGGCATGTGCAGACAAACAATAACGCGACATCAATAATCTCGTTGACAAGAGAAGACAAAAAGAATTTTCACGAGTGCAACGGCTAAAAATCTGGAGCTCATTTAGAGATAGAAGATATGGTAAATATTCCTTTTTTGTCATTTTTTCAAAACGAAGCTGCCACGAATCTATTTCAGTCACAATCTACAGAATCGAACAGGTACATTGGTCTTCTTTGGACAGGATTAAGAACGGATTCACTTGAACAAGTAAAACTCATAGAATAAAACAATACATGCATATTGTACGTTTGTGCACATTATTTTTAAATAAGGTCCCTCGTTCATGGCCACTTGCTTATCTGGGATAAAGGGGTAAAGACATGCAAAAGAGTAAACGGGCGTGAAATACGGAATTCAGAATGGGCATGTGATTAAAGCAGGCCAAGTGGGGGTGGTCAAAGATGCAGCAGAAGCACAGGTAAAAGAAAACAGATTCCAATCCACGTTTACCCCCCGTTTTTTCTACTAGCAGAAAACAGAGGAGGGCAGAAAAGACCAGTTGAAGAAATAAAAAGGGGGCAAATCGTTATAAATTCAGGATCATACAACCATAGGAAAACTGGCGTGTTAGGTTTAGCATCACAAGGGCGCATAAATGCGGCCAGCAAGGCCGGGGCACCCAACTTCTTACATTATGAATTCAGCCAAGTGGTTCAATAATAATCAAACTGCCATTTTTGGTTCGTGCCCTGCGTAAATGTTAAACATAGGCAGATGCATGTAGCTTTCTTTTTGCTTCAAATATTTGCTGCTCAGAAGTTCATATAGATCAAGAATTGCGAAAGTGAGAGATAAAAATTTATATACAGGAGATAGAGACCCACATTACAGTATGGGAAACAACCTCCTCTGGGTCAGCAGCCGCAGCACGTTCATTCAATTCCTCCGCCTGTTTGGCTCTGCAATTAACCAACACAACAACGAGATTATTATGGGATATCGGATATCCACTCAGCCTCCTAAATCTAAAACAAAAACAAAAACAAAAATGTTGCTCATCTATTATTTAATGCCCGAGAGACACGAGCATGAGCGTTATTGATTATTGATGACTTTTAAAACAAATAATTTTTACTGACAAAGAAAAAAGGGAAGAAAGACACGTGTCCCCAAATCATGGTGATTGGCTGATTGGGAAGAGAATTACGCGTGTAACAAGGAAACATGAAGTACACTGTGGAGACAGGGGTAGTGAGGGGGCGCAACGCTCAAGGGGGAGGTTGGAAGTCATTGTCTCCGGTAAAATCCGAAAACCGTTAAAGAGCGTTTCCTAGAGAGAGAAGAGAGCGAGGCGACTCGTCGGTGGCAAAAACTGAAAAAGTAAAAGCCCAGAAGGCACGATTTTATCTTGTCGGACTGAAATTACCAAAATACACCCATCCCCTGCGTGGCGCGGGCCTCGTTCTTACGAGGGTAACTTCGGGTAGGTATGGGGTTTAATGATCAGTTCGGGAGGGCGGAGGAATCCGAAGGATCGCCATAACGGAATAAACGAGCCAGATCCAAAGGATTTGGATCTCAACGGGCAAGCTGCTTCGTCACAGTCGTTTAGGCTACAATGGACGGCTGAGATGGGCCGGCAAAATTGCGAACGTTGCGTTTTAGCTTTTTCAAAAGTTGTGCGGAGGGAGAGAAGTCGTTTCGTCGCGCTACTAACCTGGCCGCCATTGACGTGTTGGTTAAGCTCTCCAATTTCTGTGCTCCAACATTCCTGCAAGAAGACGAAGTAGAGATGAAACAAAGTCAAAAAAACGTAAGAGAATGTTATGATCTCTATTTGTTTTCCTTTCTGTGTCTTTGAAAAAGAAATGCAATGACGCCATGGCATTGACACAGAGAGCTCAATTCCTGCGTCTCTCTCAGTTATTTGTGAAGCGATAATTATAGAAAGTGATCTAGAGAAGGAACAACGGAAAACCATTAAGGGCAGCGAGGAAACTGGCATCAAATGTGGTTAGTGGTCACAATACAGAGAGAAGTGGGGAAGAATAAATCAGTTTCATGGAATCCTAATTCACATTATTAGGAGCTAAGAGTAAAACCAGAAATCTAATACAAAAAGCTATTGCAAAAGCAGTTCGCAGCTAAATTTCCTTTAAACACAAAACAATGTAGTTCGATTCCGGAAGAAAAAAAACTGAGCAAATCTCACTAAGTCACCAAAGCCCAGGCCAGAAATGTAAAATGTTTTCAGCTCTCTGAGCTCTGCTACCCGCAGAAACAGAGAGGTAGGTAGGGAGAAAAGCAGAGAAGCAGGGCATACCTGAGCTCAGAGATCTGTACTCTGGCCGTGGCTGCAATGAACAACGTTACTAGCACCAGCAACCAGACATTGGCACATTTCCAAGTCTCTGCCATTGCCGCTCCTCTCACTTGGAGGTTCGCCTTCTCTGAGTCAATCTTACTTCTGGGAATGTGGAAGGCGAGAAGGAAAGAGAGCAGAAGATGAAAAGAGCGAAAGGGAGAGACAATTAGCAGAGGAAAAGGCTGAGGAGAAATAGAGGGGAGTGGACTCGCAGAACAGCTTCCAACATAACGGCCCATTTATAGATCGAGAGAAGACAAAACAAAAAACGCCAAACTTTAACGCCGTTAAACAACTGATCGTTTTTCTTGTCTGCACACTCTCCGCCCGTTTCGTTCCATCGTATCCGTATCGTCGTCGCTCCCGTCACGGCGTCAATTAACCCGGTCGTTATCTTAACCCCCTCTGGTTAGATTTACCCCAACCAACGCTCTCCATTTTAACCGTAACCCGCTTGTAACGACCTCCCCCACCCCCCCCCAAAAAAAAAACTCGTCCCCTCTCACACGTGGAAAGAGTCGGCCACTCACGTGCCGTGGCTTTGCATCTTTAATTTTTCCCCCATTTTGATTTTTATTTTAACTTTATGAGTCATTCATTGCCCAACTAACAAGAACGGCTTGTTACTCCTGGGCAGCTCAGTGACGGGGCCACGTCGGACTGCCGTTACGGAGGGAAGCGTCCCGTTTATGGATGGGGATCGTAATGGTACGAAGGGTATAAAACAGAAAAACAGACATCACGGTTTCCCGCTGATTTTACGGCAAATCAAACGGATGAAGAACAATGTTTGTTTGGTTTTTTTTTTTTTTAAAGAAAGAACATATATTATTTTTGACACTATTAAATAAATGGATTCTGCAGGAACATTGGACGCGGGCGCTAATCACGGCCTTTGCCTTTGAATACTATTCCATCCAGCAAGATTCAACTCAACGAATATATTACAGCCTGTTCCATATTTCTATTGAGAAGGAATATACTACCTCTAATCCTAATTATAAGATTTTATTTGTAAATGTTCTAATTATAAACCGTTGTTGGCAATCTACAAACAAGATCTTATAATTAGGATAAGATGCAGTATAACAATGAAATGTTATCCGCAAGGTCAGCCGAACAATGAAAATAAATTATTTGTATGATCCAAAAATTTTCTCAAGTTATTTTCTCTTCTGCACATTTTGCAGAGATCTTGTTTGTAATTTGTTTTTTTTTTTTCAATTTTAAAAGGGAATATGTGCGCGTGTGGTGTTGTGTGGATAAATTAAAGCTTGGTGCTGTTGTATTTGTCACTACGGTGTAGTTATTGATGAATTGTGTGGTGGTGGTGGAGCATAAACGGCTTATGTGGAGGGAGGGCAGTAAAGAAATGAAAGAAGAGAGGAGTTCTGAAGAGAGGATCCGCTTGTTTATTAATGAAACGGGGACCACTCGAAAGGCGGATGTCCACTCCTCAGCTGATGAGGACGACGGAAAAATCTGGGGAATATTAATTTATGATGAGGATTTTATGGGATGAAATCTGAATGAATATGCGTACATGGTCTTGCTTCATGCATGTGAGCCTGACAGATTTGGGTTTGATATTAAATCTTTGTGTGTGTGTGTGTGTGTGTATGGCCCCAGAAATGGAATGTGTGTGTGTGTGTGTAGAGATATGGGTTTGTGGGAGAAAAAGGAAAGCGAGAATGGGAACAATATATATGCATGTGATGTTGCGGATTCAGATTTCATCGCGTAGAATTGAATATAATGTAGTTTTTCATGACCACTGGAATCACTCTGCATATGCTTCCTCTCTTATATATATATATATATGCATGTAGAAACATATGGAGGCATCCATCCAATAATTATATATATACTCCTCCGGTCCTTAATATAAAACCCATTTAACTAATTTGATTAAATTAAGAAAGTTAGGTAAGTTAGTTAATTATAAAAAATGTGACATGTTTTTCCTAAAATACCATAATTATCTTTCTTAATACCTCATCTTCCTCTTCTACTTGGTTATAGTTGAAGGAATATCCATAAGGGTAATTTAGAGAAAATTGATAAATATGATAAATGGGTCTTATATTTAAGATCAAAACTAACTCATCAATTGGATCCTATATTAAGAACCGGAGGAGTATATAGTTAGGGGGGTAAAAGGGTAAAAATGAAAGGAAGGAAGGGGGGGTGGGGGAGTGGGGTTAATGATAGCGTAGCCCCCACGCCTGAGGAAACAGAGGGCAAAATGAGGATGATGAGAATGTTGTGTATGTGTGTGTGTATGTGTAGTAAAAGAGATGCATGCAGCGGCAACATGATGATGATCTCACCCTTCATTTGTTCCCCCCTCCTCCTCCTCTTTACATGTATATGTAGTAGCCATTTTAATTACTAATAATCAGGCTGTTCTTCACTTTTTTTCCTTCTCAAGTTTAATCATCCCAATCATTCCTGGCCTCTTTTCATCCCCCCCTCCTCCTTCCCCACTCTTCATCATTCATTTATCATCTCTCCCCAGTATCTTTGTCCCCCACCCCAGCAACCACAAAAAATTACCCATTCTCATATTTAATATAAGAGCTATTTAATTAATTCGAATGAAATGAGAAAACAAGATAAATTAATTAATTATAATAAATATAACATAATCTCTCCAAATCTTCGTCTTGCATATCAGTTTATAAATTAAATAAATTAGTTTTAAACAAATAATAAATATAGGAGATAAAATAGATGAATATATGGTGCGAAAGATGGGATGGGATGGGAGAAATTCACTCTTGTTACATATGTGTGTTGAATATAATGATTGGTGGTTGGAGCAGCTTTTGGAATGATGTGTTGGTTTGACACATTAACTCCTCATTCCTGGTAACAACTCTGCATTAACCCCTTTACAGCTTTGCTTTATCTGCCTCTCATGTGCATCTCACCCTTCATTTCTAGTCCCCCATCATCATCATCATCATCGTCCATTCCTCTGCACCCAACTTTTTAATGTCGTCAATCCCCTGTTATTCTCACACTCCTTCAATCAATTCAAGCAGTCCTCCCTGGCAACCAAACAGCCAAATAAAATAAGCCACCTAATAACACATATATTTCACAATCATGTGCATATGTGTTGCGTTGCTCTATGTTTTCTAGGGGGTTGCTTGAGTGAAGCAACCAAATTTCAATCAGGGGGGTGACTTTTATATATTATTTATATTATTTAAATGAAGCCACAGTGGTTAATTTAATTGAGAATATAGGAAGGAGGACGGAGGGAATTGGGGGTGGGTCCCACAAAAGTGATAAAAGGCATGAGGGGACTTCATGAGGGGGCATTAATGTGACCCTTGGAATGCACGCAACGAGAGAGCCTGATGAGAGAATATATGCGCCTCGCTTGCTTGCTTGCTCGCACTTTTTACTCGATGGCATGTTTTTGCATGATCTGATATTATGTGACTCAAAGATCTCGTAGGGTCATCTTAATACACACACACACACACACTCCTTTCACTTTTTTTAAAAAAAATTAAAATTAAAATTGATGTATTTTTAACCTCAGCCTTTGCAAAGAAGTGAAAAGTGGGAAGAAAAAACGGTTAATATAACCAACTGATGATTCCATGAGTTGGGGCTTTACCCACTCACTGATCCCATGCCTCAAATTTTGGTTCATCAGAATGTTCTCTTCTCTCTAAAAGGGCCATTTCCGTCCCTTCATTCTCAAGATTTTTCTTTTTTTTTTTTTTTTAAAAAGAAGGGCACGCCAATCCCTCCAACTTCGAACATCTATTGCGCGCCAATCTGCTTCTCTCTTTTGGTTTTCTCAACTTTCTTTAATTACCAGCCATCAATCACCTTGCCGCCAGTGTTTTCCTATATTTTATGAAAACTAGATTCACTACTCTTTCCTGAAAGTCTAGTTTATTAATAACTGGAATTTTTCAAGCTGTTTACGGGCAACATTCTAAAACAATTTAACTAATTTTCTTAATTTATTTAAAATATTTAACAGGCCTTTATAATAATAACTCAAGAGCTATATTAAATTGTGTGTTGTGTAGTAAATAGCCGGATTAAGAAGCCTTGTGCTTATTTTTAAAATTGATGTCCCGCTACAAGTGTTTTTTCAGTTTTACATATTAAAAATTTTGATATACGTAATTGCCACTTGAGTAAACATATCCAAAAAAAAAAAAAAAACTGGCAACTGTTTGATGCACGGCACAGTGTGTGGGGGGTGGGGGGTTGACCCAAAAGCAGCCACGAACTTTCTCAACAAATGAATTCAGTATAAACTTTGCTTTTGGAGCAGAAGGTCATGTGTCCCGGTGGTGGCCTCCTAAAAGGGCAAGTACGCATACACAACAATATCTTTATTTTCATTGTGGCGGGTTAATTAAAGTGACTATATCAGTAATTTTCTCCATATACGAAGAAAACAGAGAGAGAGAGAGAGAGAGAGTCAAAGGGTAAGAAAGGCAGTCAACTAAGTAACTGTCATGTCAGAGAATACGCTTTTATTACAACAAACGTCACCCATACACTCCTCCTTCCCACTACTATATATAGTTTATATTGTTTGTTATCTTCGTGCTTAACCCGTTTCATGCACGTAATGATACGTCCCCTTTACTTTGCCTTCTTTCTCACTTTTTACTCAAAACTACGTGTTGGAGGGAAAATTTCTTGCTCTGGTGAAAATCGAATTGGGTTTTGCTGATGGGAATTAAATACTCCTCCGGTCCTATAAGATCCATTTTATTTGGTCCTAATTATGACCCAATCCATTTTTTCTCTTATATTTATGCATTGATAATCCTCTAATAATGATAGTTTTAGCCAATATACTTAATTCAAGATATAAGAATAACACTTATTTAATAAAAAAATAACTACTTCTTAATGTCATAAGTCAATTGGGTCTTAATTAGGACCAGGAGTATCTTGAACATTAAATAAATAAAATCATTAAAAAAAAAGCTACTTCTAGCTAGATCAATCGTCAAGTGCCCATTGATACTTCAAGTTTGATCCGCATTTTATTGACCCTATTTTATTTTTTTAAAATTGTTCTGAGTTGACAGAATCATTAACAAAATCGAACAACCATTGCCTATCAGATTCATATACCTAAGAGATGGATGTTGATATATATATAT